TTTTTTATTTTATAAATACATAACCTTGGTCAAAAACTATGTCACTGTGGTCATGGGACACTTCTTTTTACATTTGTTGGGCAGATGCTCTGAGATACTATTTTCCATTTCAAGCCTTTCCCATTTATCTATTAGGTTAGTTATTTGACATTTCTTTACATGCTTATGCAGGGGAATAGGAATTTTAAAAGTGTGAAGCAGACAGTAAAAAGACTAGAAGAAGCTTCTGTTTCCTGCAGGGGTCCAGAAAGAGTGCAGTTGATGAGAAGATGGTTGGCTGCACTTAAAGAAACTGAGAAATTATCTGGGGGTTCCTTGGAAGATAAAGAAAAGAAGAGTGAACCGCAACTCTCATCTGAAGAACTAAAGGATATTCCAAGAAAACCATCTCCAGTAAGTAAAGCACTACAGGCCTGAATTGGTAATGTCAATCATGTAAAATTATTTTGGGTGATTTTGTACATCTTGTTATTCAACTATTCAAATGAAGTCAGGCCATTTGCAAATATTCTTTTAAGCATCTGACAGAGATTAAATTCATTGAAATATGAAGGAGCTTAACAGCGCTGGTGGATTGATAGTTAAGTCGAATTCATGCATCTACTAGTCTATCTAGTTACTACATGCAAGAGTGGCATACTTTTATGTCACTAGGTCGTCGTGTTCATTTTTCTTGGCCACCATGGGCCTTTTAACACGTCCAGTACTACAGTGGTGCATGAGTATTCATATGTGGTGTCCTGATTAGAACTCACTTTGTGAGAAAACCAATCAGCTTTAATCAGGCGCACAGATCCTCTCTCCTTGACTACATCCAATACTGTTACTTTCTCGTATAGCTTAGGTTAAAGAACACATGAATCCCTTAACTGCACATTTGTGGTATTTTGATTATTCTTAGGTAGTGTTTTCTATCTTGGATCTTGTTTAGAATTCCCCCTGTGAGGAAACCAATCAGCTTTGATAACACAGAGACCATATGCCATTGATTACATCATTTTTTTGCTCAACCACAAATCTATTGAATGAAGGTAGCTTGCTTACTCTCAACCACTAGTTAGAAGGAAATCTCTTGACTTCGCTTACGCCCTTATCTTATGTAGTAAAGAAAGCAAGTGAGGCAGGCTAAAATTCCATTTGAAATAACGTAACAAGATTCACTCTATATTCCTTTAAAAAAAGAATTCATATATGATTTGCTGATTAATTTTGCCCTGACTTGGATGTTGTTCGATTATTAAGTGAATCATTGCACTGTTGCCTCCCTTTGATACGAGTTACTTGATCTAACCCTTGCTAATCATGGACAGGTTCTTTATTATGATTCTGATATTGGGGGTGACCCGATGAATTTTCATGATGTCTTTCTCTGCAGTCAAGCTTTGGAGGGCATAGCCATATGTATGGTATGCGAAATTAGTTTCAGTTCTTTCTACACAGTATTGATTGAAGTGCTTAAATTAGTATTTCGTGTGCATTATACATTAGTTTTGATGCTCATGCTTTTGAGTTGTATTTTTAAAGTGGCTGGAAAAACGTAATGCAAGATGATGCTTTTCTGGGGCCAAAGAGTGAGTTGCAACCCTTAAGCTTGAGAGACAAATTTCACATACAATTGGGTTATACATAACACAAGCATGGCTGAAAATTTTCTTTTTGTTTTGCTTGGCCAGGCTTTGAAATAATTTTGGTCATCGTTAGTACTTACTTGACGTGTTCTATTGAATTTATTGTTGGGGTTTGTAATTGCTGATTATGGAGGTTAACCGCAGGTTAAACTTTTCTGTTATTCAGATTATTGAAGCGCCAAATGAGGAGGAAGTTTCTCTACTCCTGGAACTGTTCAGGTGAGTTCATTCACTAGTGACTACTTTAGTTAATTGTGTGTTGTCACAGACTATGATAATTTCTTTCTGGTTGGGGTATAGAGGATTATGTGTATTTAATAAGGGATTGAACTTGAATTGTATCGGAACCTTATCACGTGTTATGTTGTGCAGACTTTGTCTTACTGGAGGGAAAGAAGTTCATAATGCGATAGTAAGCAGTATACAGGACCTGGCAAAAGCTTTTTCTAGCTATGAAGATGAAGTATTGGTAAAGTCCTGAAACATTTTTTCACGTGTCTTCATGAAAATGTGTGCAAATTTGAGAAACTCTGGACTTTCAGGCTTTCTATGATGCTCTTGTATTACAAAACAGTGCATTGTGATGGCAAAAAAGTATTTTTTCTTTTGTTTTTTGGTTATGCAGTAACATATATACAACTGAGCATATCCTTCTCTTTGGTGGTGGGAGACAGTAGTGCCAAACTAGAAGGAGAGCCCTCACTAGTTTATACAGTAGTATTTAGATCAATAAGTATTGAGTAAACTGTGCTACAAAGTGCTAAAGTAGGCATCACCTCTGCAAGCTGAGCAAGATCTCAATGCAAAGAGAACCTACACAAACTGGTTATGATTGAAAATATCTAACTACTATAAAATGTCAACAAAAATGAAACACATTTATTTGACTAAAATAGCCTTAATCAAATAACTAATGCCTCATATATCCTTTTTAGTAAATATATGTTGAAATTTGGTCTTCATTCATTCAAAACGTTTCTTCATCTTACCTGAAGGTTATGTTTCTCTGTCTTAACTCAATTGCAACGTTTCCCCATCTAAAGTACTTTTTCTTTTAAGTGCTAATAATTCTGATAATTATTCAGTGTGCACTGAATATGCCCAACGTCATATTAAAACTTTGAATCATTAAATGTTTCCATACACTAGCTAATACGCAAAGAGAAAATACTAGCATTCCTTTAATGCTCCAGTTGATTGGCTTATTGAAACTTTAATCCACTCATATTCCCTTAATAGGTTATCTCTTCAAAACCATTTTAGTTTACCATCTCAAAGACAACCCCCCCTCCCCCTTCTTCCTCTCTTTGTCACTCTCACCCAGTATTGCCTTTGTTACAAAATTAGATGGCTAGGGCTACTTGAACAGGTACTTTTTCTCCGTCTTCCATGATCTATTCTATATCTATTTCCATTGTGTTGTTTATTTATGGGATTTTGAAATAGGCATGTTTTTCTTCCTCGACAAATCTTTGCTTGAATCAAAATTTAACCATCAAGTCTGAAGAAGGCAAAGAAATGGTACAACAGACATGAAAAATGGAGGAAAATCAAAAGGACAAAAGAGAAAATGATAAGGAAACCAAAGTCAAGATGCAAATCCTATAAAAATATTTCCAAAGGACTGGTATCATTACCATGTGTCAAAAGTGAAGGTGGTGGCAAGAGGAACTGCTTCAGAATGTTTATGCACAATTCATACACATATGTGTGAACAGTAACTGTGGTCCAAGTGTCTAGACCATTTATCTAACACCTCCTACATGTGTTATTCAGTATAAGCTTTTCTCAACAACTCAACACACATTTAAGATGCTTTCAATCTTGTTTGCTTGAGAGTATTTTCCACCTTAATTTCGTTCTTAAATCTACAACCCACAGAAAATACAAACAAAACATGAAGAAGAAATATACTTGATGTGTAACTATAGATTTTTTACTTCCCTCTTCTTTGCTTTTTCCATGCCCCCCATGTCGAAGGATTCTTGTAATTGTCAAGTTGCTCCTTGAATCAGATATATTTTAGATACTATCTATTAAAATTCATGTTGGGGGTGAATGTTCATGTATGACTTGACAAGAAAAATGTAAAGATCGAATTTCATATAAGATTGCTATAGGCTGAAGATTCTTAACTTTTAGTTCACTTTTTTGTTTAAAAGAACAATGAGACATGTCATAACTATTGATGGTAGGTTCAAATCCTACTTTAGATTGTTCATATGTTAAAATTTTACTTGAGGGCTTCGATTGTTTTATATCTTTAAATTGGTACAACACATATTCAAGCCCATGTTTCCCTAAGTCCTTAGTCCTTGTTGGCAAAGAGCTTCAACAATACTTACTTTTATTTGAACTGGTTATATGGAATATTGATAAAAGAGAAGATGAATCCACTAAGGAAATTGAATAGAAAAATGTCACAACCACTTATCTTTAAATATGTTGGATCCATTAGAGTTTTATATGAAGACATTTATGATATTTTAGACTTAGATTTTATGCAAGTGTCTACTAGGAAAATGTGTGGTTTCTATGACAAATGTGTCAGAAAAAAAAACAAAATTAGCTGTTAGCAAATTGATTGTGCTCTTTTAATGCTTTTATTATTCTTGACGAGATAGTTCATTAGAACTACTGCCTTCAAAGTTCTAGAAACCAGCCAAGTAATAAAACATAATTAGATATGTGCATTTCCTTTGGCAAGTAAACTGGTATATTCATATTATACATACACAAACAAATATTCTCTAATCATGTTTTGGGATAGTGATGGTCCATATGAATGCTATTTACTTTGAATGCAAGGAGTTGGACATTTTATCAAGTTCAAAGTTACTAGATTATATCCCAGTTGGGCTTTTGTATCAAGTACTTTTTGACACTTCAACCTATAAATATTTGAGATGATGTCAAATTGTCATGTGAATGTATCTTATGTCCCCTTTTGTTCGATTGGATATAAATCGTGAATAAAAGTCTATTTTTGAAGGTTTACCTTTCAAATATTTATGAGTTTTTTACCATTGAGTAAGTTTTTTTCTTGTGTTCTTTTGAATGTGGATGACGCATTAAGGAAGGTGATCAAAAATGTGGTTCCATCGTGTATGTTTTATATGTGCAAAAACTGAATATAAAGGAACCAAAAGAAAGTGGCTTTGTCCAATTCTTTCCACTGACTTAGATATCAGATACTCAACATCTTATCTTATTCTTGCTTCTATGGAGTAAAATATCAATAATATTTTTGAGGAGTCCATTAATGTAGTTGTTCCAGACAATTATACAGGTAGTTCATGACTTCTACCTTATTTCATTGATTAGTTGAAAAGGAAAAAGTACATATTCATGATTGATTAATAAGTTGTAAATGTGAAAGAGAATAGTACACATTTTTTTTTTGCAAAAAAAAACCAAAAAATTGATTTAGAAATAACGTTTTATTTTACAATATTAGTTGCTTTCAGTATAAAAAAAAATTGTTTGGATAAATATTATGTAAACATCAGTTCTTGGTTTAATAATATGATATTAATCAAAAGAACATGTTGAGCACCTACAACACATGTATGGTATAATAAAGGTTACAAAAAACTAAACAATTTAGGTGGTTGGGTATTCAGCTGAATAGCACTTGTTTTCTAAAGAATTGAACAATTGAATGATTCTTACATCTCCAAAGCACAATATCATATATTGAAAAAGATTCACGTGCATCGCATGTGTGCATCAATTAGTAAAACAAAAGTTTGGGAAAAGAATTTCCCCAGTCATCTTGGCTGCTGGCCTTTTTAGTAGATTGGAATATCAGCTGTTTGAATGAAGACTGGGTCTTTCACTTTCGAAGCAACTCTGTAGTTGGCATGTATTTTAAGATGCTATGTTTCTTAAGCAAGATTGTATGCTGCTCTAAGTCGGTATACGTTGTTGTTTACTAGTCGACTCGTTTAAAATCCTTTCAGATATCCCAAGGTTCTGGTTAATAGCAACATCATGTACGCACTTGGACATTTTCGTGAGTCATTCATGTTGAGACATTACAATGTTGGTGTAGGCTATCTAGTTCGTTTCTAAGTTTGGTAAGCTGAAAATGTTTGTGCTAACAAAATGAGGTATAACTTTTTCCTTATCTCTCCCCTTTCTATTCCAAACACCACCACCACCACCAAAAAAAAAAAAAAAACTGCTTTCTAACTTTGTCATGATTTAGATTCAGAAGCCTTGACTAATTAGGATTACCACCTAGGGAAAATCAGGCGTTCTAGTGAGGAGGATTTCGAGTTGTAATCATTAATTCCATGTACGGTGGCTCTACTGCAAATTTATATGCATGTTTATAATTGTTCTCAACTTGAGATACTATATTAGCTAACTCTGGGTTTGACTTCATTCATCTTGTTTGAGTTATCCTAGTGAACACATATGAAGGAGGTGCTTCATCAGTAAATTAAAGGTTGAATACTAGGCTGAATGTTCACAGCAGAACCGTGAATCACTTCAAGCTTATAGTCTTTGGGAATTTTTTAAGAAGTTAAATGAATTACCTGAGGACATTGCCAACCATGGAGGCCTGGAAAGGTAGAGATGGTCCCCTTCATATATGCCTTCAATAGCTTGAAAGCATCCTCTGCATATGGTGGGATGGAGAATAGGATCTATATAGTGAAATTGTGAAACAGTAGGGTTAAAGGGTGCATTTGATGATGATAGTCTCTGGATTTGATCCTGTAAAGTACAAGAAGAACAGCAAAGGTTTCCAGTTGATGCCAGAGCCATGAATAGTGTAATTAATTTTTGAGGGGAATGTATCCTTCCCCATGACACAGCACAATTAGGGAAATATCTGATCCCACTACTGGATTCATTTTTTGGGAGGAAAAGGGGTGGAGGATATTGCTGCATTTGATGATTCTTATTTCTGAACTTGATCCTGTAATATAAAAGAAAGGCAAAAAGCTTCCGGTTGATGAAATAGTTTATGCCAGATCCATGAATAGTTTGGTGGACTTTTGGGGAGGGGAATGTATTCTTTCCCATTACCATGTGCAGCTAGAGCAAAATCTAAATGTGTGGTTTAATTTTATGGGAGTATAATTTAGACTTGAACCGTGGGCACATTTCTTAGGTACTTAAAAAAATCACCGTCATGTATTTTATTTTAGCTTTGAAGTTATAGTATAAATCAAAATTAATTATGCGATCTTCCATGTTCATACCTACTAAGAAAGGTAAAGAAAAAAAATGAGATCGCTTTGGAGACTGGTACATTCATTATCTTCATTTTGCATGTGTAAACCTGTTCTTGCTTATGCTTGCATGCTGTTCTTATTCAATTTCTCTCCAATTAATGTTCTCATTTTTAGGTGGTCTGGGAAGTTGTTTTTATATTCTGTTTTTGTTCACTCTTGATTTTCCTATTTGTTCACTTGCAAGTTAACTGCTTTTTTTTGTCTTTTCCAGGTGAAGCGGGAAGAATTGCTCCAGTTTGCAGAAGGTGCTATTACAGGGTTGAAAGTTAGTGCTGATATTGGAAGGTAATTCAGAATGACCATTTACATTTTCTTCTTTACTTGGATGTGTTCACTTGGCATTTAGGTGGCAATCCTGATCTTTTAGTTGGGTTTTATGTTCCTCTTATGTGAGGTCTGAGCACATTTAACTTACTACCTCTCATTATATGTAGAAGAGGGGTACTTTCTTCCTTTTTTGTTTTTGATGAACACACACAATGGGATACATGCGATTTTGGTCTTCTTGGACTCTTGCGAGTGCATTATGATGTTGGCTAAAGTACGTTCAAAATTGCACATATCCCATTGTATATATTCATTTAAAAAAAAAAAAGAAAAGATGAACTGAAATTTCACATCGGTTGCGGCAGGAGTTTTAGGTTGATTGATAAGCTCCAATCCACTCCTCCAAAGGTTAGTCCCTTTTGGAGGTGGTGCTTGGACTTGGGTTACTTTCTTCCTCTAGTAGTACAGTTTTATTTCATAATTTTGGAACTTGTGGGATTTGTAAACATTGTTTGATGTACTCTACCTTTCAAAGACATAGTTTTCTTTGAATGACAGTTCTGTGAACTTGAGAAGTCTGATATGCCAATTCTTTGTTCTTGATGATGTGTCTAATGTTGGTGCTTGTTTGGGTCACTTGATAGAGGGATTGTACCATGTATATGCTGTCAGACTTGAAAATTGTTGTTTTACCCTACCTGACCTGAGTGATAATCAATTTTTATGATGAATTTTTTCTTTCCATTCTTGGTCAATCACTTCATAAATCTTTTTGGGTGATTTCCATCTTTTCATGGCTCTTTACCAATCCACATACATAAAGACCAATTTGTTTTACCCAAGATACAGTCAACAACAATCCAGTCCATGAAGTACAAATTCTCTGGAAAACCTTGAGTTTTGATTGAGTTGAACCTTCATTTCTGATCAAGTTACAGACATGTAATTGATTGCACCACATGAATTTAGTCTCACAGGAGCACAAGAAAACCCTTTGTATCTGCCAATTTGTTTTTTTGAAAAATGATTGTTTGGAACGAAGTAGCAAAGGTAAGAAATTGTGTTTTGTCCAGTTTGTGACCTGCTTTCTGTGTACAGAATAGATGCCGAGGTCTCTACTCTAAAGAAAAAACTTGATGGAATGAGAGCATCAGGCGAGCCTATTGGTGGAGTTCATGAAACAGCCTCTACAGAGACAACTGTTTCTACAATAGAGGTGAACCTGGTTATTGTTATCCTTCTCTCTTCCTCTCTGTTGGTCTGTGAACCTGTTACTTTTTTCACTCCATGATCTTATATTTCTGGTCTTAGAGAGCTGGTTGAATTAATACAATACATGAACTCTCATCCCGAAGAATAAAACTCAGGTTTCTTCAGTTTGACACTAGCATACTTCTAAAGTTACGGGAAGAAAATTCAATATTTACCACTTAACTTCATGTCAAAATCCGAATATATTTTGTTGCCCAAAATAATAAGAATATTAAGCTAATCTTAAATGCATGTAACTACTTCATAACCCAATGAATAGAGAACTATGAACTTTCCTAATCATCATATCCTTCCGGTAGGCTCTGAAAGAAGCTCTTGCACATATCCGAGTTTGTTCTAGATTAGAAGGGCTGCTACTGAAGAAGAAATCTCTTAAAAATGGAGACTCTCTGGAAATTCATGCTCAAAAGGTATATTTCTCTCTTATTAAAAAGTTTTACTCATTACGTTTCTGAAATTATGTATTTGTGTTAGTGCTGCCTTCTTCCTGTCCTGTGTTACATCTGTCGTTAATTGTCATGCCTTGTTACTCTTGGTCCAGCAATTGCGTCTGCGTGTGTTTGGCCAAATGCTTATAGACCTTGGCTGATTTCATTTTACATGACATAAATGGAGTGGTCGATTACTTAAATTCTCCATTGCTCATGATCATTATGTTTAGATGTATTTTTTTCCCAATAGTTTTATATGTACTGCGTGGTGCCTAAAACACATCAGCATTTAGTGTTTGCATGCTCTGAAAGGGTTGCCCAGGGACCCGTTTTGAAGATTATAGTGTTTCATTTTTAAGACCAAACTGTTCAAGTGGTGCTTAATAATCTTCATGGGGTTAGAATCATACTGCGCTATAGCCAAAATGGTGGCCTATTTTGGTGAAACACTGATTCGCATTTTATGAACATAGATCTAAAGAATCTTCAAGTTTGGTGTGCATATGATTGCTTTAGACGGTCAAGGACATGGCTTTATGAAGAGCTGATTAGAAAAAACAAACATACAGTAAGCCTCTTGTGAGAATTAAGGCTTGTTGAATTGAGTTGAGAATTCCAGGTACCCTTTATCCAATTCAAAGATAAATCATATTATGGTTTTGAAAGATGCAATTCTTCTGAGTGCCCCTAATGAGAACCCCTGATAGAATAAAGGCAATAAATGAGAGAAAAAAGTATATGAGACTCAGCTATTATTATTTTATCCTTTCTGTAGGTAGTGAGGAAATTGTTAACTTCTTTGTAGGCCAATGGGCAGAATGAGACAAGCATCTTGTGTCAGTCAAGAGAGAGAAAATGCTCATTTTTGTCGTGCATATTTTCTTTTTGGTAAGCAACTAGTTTTTGTTAAAGAAGAGAAAAGTAAAGGATACAATGGAGGACCAGACATCCTGCGACATATACACACAGTCATGCATCAATACAGAGAAGAAAAATACACAAAATCTCTCAAACCATAGCATTCTACTATCCCCACAACGATCTCCAAATGTGTAATGCAAAAAAAGAAATACAAACTACTTGGTCAATAAAATTTACGAGCATGCCAGAAATTGAGCACTATCCCATAAACAATCTCCCCTTTCACTTTTTTCCCTCAAATATCTACCATTTATTTCCAATCCAATAATCCGAAAAATAGCTAGAATTCCAAATTTTTGAAGAGTAGTAGCATTATTGTTCCTTCCAAAACTTCGCATACCTTCTTCAAACAAGGACGCACAATGCCTAGGAATCACCCAACTCGCTCCTTCCAATTGGAATAATCTCCACCACAATCCCAATTCATCGGACAATAAAGGAATAGGTGAGCAATGCACCCATCCTTTCTTCGGCACATGAATAAAGGACACTCCTCTTTTCTTCATGAATGTTTCCTGTTCATTTCTCCCATAAAATAAAGATAAACACAGTTATGTTGTACCATATTATGGTCTTCATCTGCGCTATTTCTTAAGTTTAGCTTCCCATGAAAAGAGGCCAGAAATAATAATTTTTTGCCCCCACTTACACCCCTACCCTCTTTCATTTGTAGCTTGACAAAGTTTTCCTTGTCAAATTAACGAATATTTACCTTCTTCTGATTCTATGCATGGGTGAATGAAATCTTGTTTTATCTCATTCAATTATCTCTCTGCCACCTTTTGTGTATGGATCTGTAGAAATGGTTGCTTCATTTGATACTGATGAACAAATATTTTCTTTCTTAATGTGGCCTTGATGTAGGACAGCCATGTAAAATCAAAATATGGGTTGTTTTGGGGTTGTGAACAATAACGAGAACAGTAAAATAGACTGTGAACAGTAACATAAATAGTAAAATAGGCTAGGAATCACTCCTAGGGTTTCTTTGGCATCACACAACCCAAGAAGTATATAATTGCTGAAATTTCTGAAATATTTGTCTATATTTTATTAAAAGTAACAGTAACTATATATGTAGAGGTCTAAGTACTCATAATCTCAAAAGACTAGGATTCTAAAGTCTCTAGAACTCCAAAAATCTAGGTTCCTAAAAATTATAAAACTAAAATTAACTAGAATTAGGACCTTTAAATTCTAAAATATTCAACACTAGAAAATTATGACTCATTCCAAAAATTTTAGAAATTACAAAAATAGCCTTGACCTGACCCTAAAAATATAAAAAATACATATAAATTACTAAATACTAGAAAACAAACTTAAGGTAATTAAAAATAGGACTCAAATAAAGCTATGCAAAGGTTCCATATAAGTCTTTGTCTTCATGGCAAGCCAAATTTCACAATTCTTCGTGTCTTTGAATTTTTCTGTTCTTAAGCATCTTATGGATTGCATCAGGCCTTGTTAAGTAGAATATGGTTATTTCCCCTGCTTAACATGAGAGCACAAGCATCATTCCCCAAATTTATACTATGCCAGAAAAAATGAGATTTTACCAATGCCTTATTTTAACAATTGTGGATGGGCACACAAATGTTTTTGTTGAGCTTCATGCCTGTGATATTGTAGTCTCATTTTATTAAGTCAAGAAAATGCCAGTTGGTCTTCCACATAGGAAGATGGAAAAAGTCTGTAATCTGAGTAAAAACTGCCAGCACATATAGGACATAGATAGACTAATGCATTCTGGCAATTTTGACTTTTACACGACTGATTATGTCCTTTCTTGATGCAGAAACAACTTTCTTTTGTCCTTTTATGTTCTTTTTCCTTTGGGGAAGGGGGTTGCTAACATATTTTTGCGTTACATCTGGCTTACTTTCTTTTTCCCGTTGGCTTTGTATGCATCTATCACTTTCCTGAAGTTTGCACATACTGCCTTTGTCCTTTTGTATCTTAGCTCTGGGAATAAGTTACAGATTTTTTGATCAGCATATATCAAGTTCACATGAGTGTTGGAGATGTTTATATGATTAAAGTTATTTTGTTAATATTAGCAGGTTGATAAGTTGAAAGTCTTATCAGAATCTCTTGCTAGTTCAACCACAAAAGCCGAGAAGCGCATCTCAGATCACAGGTAGGGAGTTGTGCATGAGAATTGTTACACTCTTTGTCCTCAGTGATTTAAATCCTCAAAACATTTGGTAGTTCCAGTCCCAGAACTGCAAGCTGCCTTTCCATTTAGATATTTTGTTTTCATATACCATTTTAGTTTTTTGCTTATTCATTTAATTATAATAATTTCTACATTTGGTTTCCCCTCTGTCCCTGATACCAGCTTATTGTGGTCCTATGGCAATGTAATACCATGTGAATCAGTTGTCCTTGTTATCTTGTTACTAGTTTAGATTAAATTTTTCCTAGCAACTTCTACCTTATTTTCCAATCCTTGATGTCTTCTTAGTGGAATGTAAAATAATGTCATTTATTTGTCTTGATATTTCCTCTTATGCTTCTAGATTTTGTATCTACTTTTGCTTACAGTGTGATACACTGCCAAAGCGAATTTCCGGAGATATGCTGGCTTGTACTGCATACTTTCAACTTTTATACCCTGTTTGTTTTTAGTTTGTTTCTTATTGCTTGGCAACAATAAGAGGCACAGTTATATTTAAGCTGCATTGACCTATGTTCTTTCATATTGCACATATTATTGTATAAATTGACAGATTTTGAGAATACTTTTGAAATTTTGATGCTTAATGAGTAAGCAGAATCAAGAATTGATGACTTCAAAGAACTGGGAAAGAATAGTACAAACATAGAGAAAGATGAGGTGAATCCTTAATGCCCAAATATTAGAGCAGCCTTTGGGATGCCCCTAGTAGAAAAAGGAGAAACAACAGCAACTACCTCCAGTAAAGATAGATCTCACATGACGAATTCTCAGGGAGGGTAGTACCTCAAACTGGCTTCATTTTGGAAGATCTGATTCACACAACCCATCTGGTTGGTTGTTGGTAGATATGGGTCTGTCTTGCCTTCAATTTATATGGCCATAAACATATAACAATTACTCACATAAAACGGATCCATGAGTGATTTCCTTTAACTAAACAATCTCAAGTTTGCTCCAATTACTCATACCAAAAGCACTATTGCTGAAGTTCATTAATGCCTTCCAAGAGATCCAGCATCTCTGCATTCTTTAGCAGGCTAGACCATGTGGCAGGTGACTGACAGAAAAAGCAGAATGCCAGAATAGTGCTCTTTTTGGCATCTTTTAAAATGCCTCTGATTTCCACTGGCAAGGAATGTCAAGATAGTGATCAAATCAGTTGACCATAATTTTGTCCAGCTGGCTGAATCATCCAAATGGTCGTGCCTACATTAAGTCTGGACTATAGAGATCACAGCTGTCCGGCAATCTATGGTACTAGTCCAGGGTTTGCCTCAGGAATCTTTTGCCAAGGACACCAAGGAATTGGATGAAAGATGGATACCGTTGAATGAAAGATCTTGTTACTTAAAAAGATAAAGATTGTGGCGAGTAGGTGTCTTGAAGTAACTCAACTGTATTGGTTGACTTGAAGGATCAATAATATGTGACATGTTATTTTTTGGTTTTTATTTTATTTTATTCACGTAGGAGGTGCTTGGCTGCTGGCATGGGGAGGCGAAACAGATCCCAAGTGGTCTTTCACATAGGGCATTATGCGATGTTTACATATGTCTTTCCGTGGATATATGTGGACCCATTATGTATGTTTGTCATCATGGCGGGACATATTGGTTGATTTAAATATAATCTTCTACTTGTGGCAAGGATTAGCAGATTATGCCAGCAATATTACTACTTTGGTTGGGTCATCATTTGTTTTTTTTTTTTAAAAATGAGGACGCTGACCGTTAGTCTTTCAATTGTTTGAGTAGGTTGAAGAATTTATTGTCGAATTAGGAAATTTGTACCTTTAATAAGCTAAATAAGTCCATTCAGATTTCAGTATGTTTGGTGGTCTATCTGCCACAGCTCTTTTACGATCTTTCCATCAAGAGTTTTTGTTTCATCGACTTGATTCTTGCCTCATGTGACTTGCACCATTTTTGAGAGTTTTTAATTTCAAATTATTTGTAACTATCAATTTGCCGGCGTATATCGTTTTATTGATTTTTTCTTGTGGTTATTTTTTTTTTGTTTCTTTTTTTTTGAGAGAAGGGCCAGAGATTTTTGTCAAACCCACTTATGTGATGGGATGATCATTTCTAGTAACTTTGTTATATTGGAGAAGAGCAATGCTATTGAGACCTAATTTACTGACATAATTTGTTGACCTAATTCATTGTGACTTTTGGATTAACCGTAGGCTCTATCAAACATTGAAACTTGGTGTTAATCCAATGGTTTTTATGAAGCCACATCATTATGCCAACAAATTAGGTCAAATTTTTAGGTTCAAATAATATTATTCATTGGAGAATTATTGAGGCTTGAGAGCATTATATTCTGCATAAATTAATGACATGTAGTTTATGTGAAAAACCATGTTGTTCACCAGAATGATGTCTGGCTCTGGATAAAAAATTTTGTTTTCCTATATGTTGGCAGATTTCAGAAAGAGGAGGCACTAAAATTCCGTGTGTCAAAAACAAGTGAAGTCGGTGAAATAGAGAAGGTATTTTGCTTCCAGTATGCTCCATTATGTTGGCTTGTTATGCGCTCTGCAAGGCTGCAGAGGACCAATTAACTATGATATTCTCCCTAGATCATAGCGCATATGAAGCTTTATGCTTCTTTAAAGGTGCTGTGTTCATGTGACACGTGTAGGAGCTGATACTTTGTGGAATGTGTACAACTGTCTTGGGCATGCCCATTATTTAGAAGGGGAGATACTGAAAAATTGGTTTCCAGGCACATGGCTGAAACTTTCCTGAGATGGCTTGCATCACCACTAATAAACAATATTTTAAAAATTTAGGTATAAGAGTATCTTAATTGTTTCCAAAAAAGTACACCTAAAGTGATTCAAGCACCTGTAAGAAATTATTATCATTCATTACATTCCAAATAAGGGTTTTAGTCAGACCCATGGTTGGAATAGGAGGAGATGAATTGCCATAATTATGGTTTTATGTATTCACAGACGTATACTTACATGTCTATATGATTGAACTAGTAGATCATTGTCTTGTTCATTTTGTAGATGTTATGTATACTGCCTAAATCTCGATGTCAAAAGATATCATTGGAAGAATGCTGGACTATCTTGCATGTCGGTATATCACCAATTGTGTCTATTATGCATTACCACATAAAATTTCTGAGTGGTATATCTGGGATACAATAGAAATTTAACAAATTCTTGGTAAGTTTGATTATGTTTGTTCACTGTCATGTGGACTTCTTTTCTCAATTGGACAAGGATCAAAGTTTTGTTTCGTTGCATTGTTTCGGTCACATAGAAAACGAAAACATTTCAACATGTTTCATAAATGTTTCGACCTGTTTCAAAAATAGAATGAAAAAAAATAAAAATTTAAAAATTATTTTTTCAAAATATTAGTCGAAATATACCAAAATATCTTGAAATATTTTNAGTAGCATTATTGTTCCTTCCAAAACTTCGCATACCTTCTTCAAACAAGGACGCACAATGCCTAGGAATCACCCAACTCGCTCCTTCCAATTGGAATAATCTCCACCACAATCCCAATTCATCGGACAATAAAGGAATAGGTGAGCAATGCACCCATCCTTTCTTCGGCACATGAATAAAGGACACTCCTCTTTTCTTCATGAATGTTTCCTGTTCATTTCTCCCATAAAATAAAGATAAACACAGTTATGTTGTACCATATTATGGTCTTCATCTGCGCTATTTCTTAAGTTTAGCTTCCCATGAAAAGAGGCCAGAAATAATNTCCCATAAAATAAAGATAAACACAGTTATGTTGTACCATATTATGGTCTTCATCTGCTCTATTTCTTAAGTTTAGCTTCCCATGAAAAGAGGCCAGAAATAAGAATTTTTTGCCCCCACTTACACCCCTACCCTCTTTCATTTGTAGCTTGACAAAGTTTTCCTTGTCAAATTAACGAATATTTACCTTCTTCTGATTCTATGCATGGGTGAATGAAATCTTGTTTTATCTCATTCAATTATCTCTCTGCCACCTTTTGTGTATGGATCTGTAGAAATGGTTGCTTCATTTGATACTGATGAACAAATATTTTCTTTCTTAATGTGGCCTTGATGTAGGACAGCCATGTAAAATCAAAATATGGGTTGTTTTGGGGTTGTGAACAATAACGAGAACAGTAAAATAGACTGTGAACAGTAACATAAATAGTAAAATAGGCTAGGAATCACTCCTAGGGTTTCTTTGGCATCACACAACCCAAGAAGTATATAATTGCTGAAATTTCTGAAATATTTGTCTATATTTTATTAAAAGTAACAGTAACTATATATGTAGAGGTCTAAGTACTCATAATCTCAAAAGACTAGGATTCTAAAGTCTCTAGAACTCCAAAAATCTAGGTTCCTAAAAATTATAAAACTAAAATTAACTAGAATTAGGACCTTTAAATTCTAAAATATTCAACACTAGAAAATTATGACTCATTCCAAAAATTTTAGAAATTACAAAAATAGCCTTGACCTGACCCTAAAAATATAAAAAATACATATAAATTACTAAATACTAGAAAACAAACTTAAGGTAATTAAAAATAGGACTCAAATAAAGCTATGCAAAGGTTCCATATAAGTCTTTGTCTTCATGGCAAGCCAAATTTCACAATTCTTCGTGTCTTTGAATTTTTCTGTTCTTAAGCATCTTATGGATTGCATCAGGCCTTGTTAAGTAGAATATGGTTATTTCCCCTGCTTAACATGAGAGCACAAGCATCATTCCCCAAATTTATACTATGCCAGAAAAAATGAGATTTTACCAATGCCTTATTTTAACAATTGTGGATGGGCACACAAATGTTTTTGTTGAGCTTCATGCCTGTGATATTGTAGTCTCATTTTATTAAGTCAAGAAAATGCCAGTTGGTCTTCCACATAGGAAGATGGAAAAAGTCTGTAATCTGAGTAAAAACTGCCAGCACATATAGGACATAGATAGACTAATGCATTCTGGCAATTTTGACTTTTACACGACTGATTATGTCCTTTCTTGATGCAGAAACAACTTTCTTTTGTCCTTTTATGTTCTTTTTCCTTTGGGGAAGGGGGTTGCTAACATATTTTTGCGTTACATCTGGCTTACTTTCTTTTTCCCGTTGGCTTTGTATGCATCTATCACTTTCCTGAAGTTTGCACATACTGCCTTTGTCCTTTTGTATCTTAGCTCTGGGAATAAGTTACAGATTTTTTGATCAGCATATATCAAGTTCACATGAGTGTTGGAGATGTTTATATGATTAAAGTTATTTTGTTAATATTAGCAGGTTGATAAGTTGAAAGTCTTATCAGAATCTCTTGCTAGTTCAACCACAAAAGCCGAGAAGCGCATCTCAGATCACAGGTAGGGAGTTGTGCATGAGAATTGTTACACTCTTTGTCCTCAGTGATTTAAATCCTCAAAACATTTGGTAGTTCCAGTCCCAGAACTGCAAGCTGCCTTTCCATTTAGATATTTTGTTTTCATATACCATTTTAGTTTTTTGCTTATTCATTTAATTATAATAATTTCTACATTTGGTTTCCCCTCTGTCCCTGATACCAGCTTATTGTGGTCCTATGGCAATGTAATACCATGTGAATCAGTTGTCCTTGTTATCTTGTTACTAGTTTAGATTAAATTTTTCCTAGCAACTTCTACCTTATTTTCCAATCCTTGATGTCTTCTTAGTGGAATGTAAAATAATGTCATTTATTTGTCTTGATATTTCCTCTTATGCTTCTAGATTTTGTATCTACTTTTGCTTACAGTGTGATACACTGCCAAAGCGAATTTCCGGAGATATGCTGGCTTGTACTGCATACTTTCAACTTTTATACCCTGTTTGTTTTTAGTTTGTTTCTTATTGCTTGGCAACAATAAGAGGCACAGTTATATTTAAGCTGCATTGACCTATGTTCTTTCATATTGCACATATTATTGTATAAATTGACAGATTTTGAGAATACTTTTGAAATTTTGATGCTTAATGAGTAAGCAGAATCAAGAATTGATGACTTCAAAGAACTGGGAAAGAATAGTACAAACATAGAGAAAGATGAGGTGAATCCTTAATGCCCAAATATTAGAGCAGCCTTTGGGATGCCCCTAGTAGAAAAAGGAGAAACAACAGCAACTACCTCCAGTAAAGATAGATCTCACATGACGAATTCTCAGGGAGGGTAGTACCTCAAACTGGCTTCATTTTGGAAGATCTGATTCACACAACCCATCTGGTTGGTTGTTGGTAGATATGGGTCTGTCTTGCCTTCAATTTATATGGCCATAAACATATAACAATTACTCACATAAAACGGATCCATGAGTGATTTCCTTTAACTAAACAATCTCAAGTTTGCTCCAATTACTCATACCAAAAGCACTATTGCTGAAGTTCATTAATGCCTTCCAAGAGATCCAGCATCTCTGCATTCTTTAGCAGGCTAGACCATGTGGCAGGTGACTGACAGAAAAAGCAGAATGCCAGAATAGTGCTCTTTTTGGCATCTTTTAAAATGCCTCTGATTTCCACTGGCAAGGAATGTCAAGATAGTGATCAAATCAGTTGACCATAATTTTGTCCAGCTGGCTGAATCATCCAAATGGTCGTGCCTACATTAAGTCTGGACTATAGAGATCACAGCTGTCCGGCAATCTATGGTACTAGTCCAGGGTTTGCCTCAGGAATCTTTTGCCAAGGACACCAAGGAATTGGATGAAAGATGGATACCGCTGAATGAAAGATCTTGTTACTTAAAAAGATAAAGATTGTGGCGAGTAGGTGTCTTGAAGTAACTCAACTGTATTGGTTGACTTGAAGGATCAATAATATGTGACATGTTATTTTTTGGTTTTTATTTTATTTTATTCACGTAGGAGGTGCTTGGCTGCTGGCATGGGGAGGCGAAACAGATCCCAAGTGGTCTTTCACATAGGGCATTATGCGATGTTTACATATGTCTTTCCGTGGATATATGTGGACCCATTATGTATGTTTGTCATCATGGCGGGACATATTGGTTGATTTAAATATAATCTTCTACTTGTGGCAAGGATTAGCAGATTATGCCAGCAATATTACTACTTTGGTTGGGTCATCATTTGTTTTTTTTTTTTAAAAATGAGGACGCTGACCGTTAGTCTTTCAATTGTTTGAGTAGGTTGAAGAATTTATTGTCGAATTAGGAAATTTGTACCTTTAATAAGCTAAATAAGTCCATTCAGATTTCAGTATGTTTGGTGGTCTATCTGCCACAGCTCTTTTACGATCTTTCCATCAAGAGTTTTTGTTTCATCGACTTGATTCTTGCCTCATGTGACTTGCACCATTTTTGAGAGTTTTTAATTTCAAATTATTTGTAACTATCAATTTGCCGGCGTATATCGTTTTATTGATTTTTTCTTGTGGTTATTTTTTTTTTGTTTCTTTTTTTTTGAGAGAAGGGCCAGAGATTTTTGTCAAACCCACTTATGTGATGGGATGATCATTTCTAGTAACTTTGTTATATTGGAGAAGAGCAATGCTATTGAGACCTAATTTACTGACATAATTTGTTGACCTAATTCATTGTGACTTTTGGATTAACCGTAGGCTCTATCAAACATTGAAACTTGGTGTTAATCCAATGGTTTTTATGAAGCCACATCATTATGCCAACAAATTAGGTCAAATTTTTAGGTTCAAATAATATTATTCATTGGAGAATTATTGAGGCTTGAGAGCATTATATTCTGCATAAATTAATGACATGTAGTTTATGTGAAAAACCATGTTGTTCACCAGAATGATGTCTGGCTCTGGATAAAAAATTTTGTTTTCCTATATCTTGGCAGATTTCAGAAAGAGGAGGCACTAAAATTCCGTGTGTCAAAAACAAGTGAAGTCGGTGAAATAGAGAAGGTATTTTGCTTCCAGTATGCTCCATTATGTTGGCTTGTTATGCGCTCTGCAAGGCTGCAGAGGACCAATTAACTATGATATTCTCCCTAGATCATAGCGCATATGAAGCTTTATGCTTCTTTAAAGGTGCTGTGTTCATGTGACACGTGTAGGAGCTGATACTTTGTGGAATGTGTACAACTGTCTTGGGCATGCCCATTATTTAGAAGGGGAGATACTGAAAAATTGGTTTCCAGGCACATGGCTGAAACTTTCCTGAGATGGCTTGCATCACCACTAATAAACAATATTTTAAAAATTTAGGTATAAGAGTATCTTAATTGTTTCCAAAAAAGTACACCTAAAGTGATTCAAGCACCTGTAAGAAATTATTATCATTCATTACATTCCAAATAAGGGTTTTAGTCAGACCCATGGTTGGAATAGGAGGAGATGAATTGCCATAATTATGGTTTTATGTATTCACAGACGTATACTTACATGTCTATATGATTGAACTAGTAGATCATTGTCTTGTTCATTTTGTAGATGTTATGTATACTGCCTAAATCTCGATGTCAAAAGATATCATTGGAAGAATGCTGGACTATCTTGCATGTCGGTATATCACCAATTGTGTCTATTATGCATTACCACATAAAATTTCTGAGTGGTATATCTGGGATACAATAGAAATTTAACAAATTCTTGGTAAGTTTGATTATGTTTGTTCACTGTCATGTGGACTTCTTTTCTCAATTGGACAAGGATCAAAGTTTTGTTTCGTTGCATTGTTTCGGTCACATAGAAAACGAAAACATTTCAACATGTTTCATAAATGTTTCGACCTGTTTCAAAAATAGAATGAAAAAAAATAAAAATTTAAAAATTATTTTTTCAAAATATTAGTCGAAATATACCAAAATATCTTGAAATATTTTGAAATAATTGTACAAATGTATTGAAATATAACAAAACATTTTGAAACATTATGGAACACCTTGAAGTATTAGAATTTCGATTCCGTCATTGATTCGTTTCGGTTTCCATGGAAACGGAAACGTTTCGGATGTTTGACCGTTTCAAAACGATATTTTGATCCTTGCAGTTGGGTTATCTGCCAATTTGAGGGTTCATGGTGCAAGCACTTGACAAGTCTAGTGCTGTGTATGTGTTTCTTCCAATGAATGGTCTCTTGCCATATTCGTGGGGCTCTAGTCATTTGATAGCTTTTAATTAGCAAATGTTGTATAGTGAAGAATGACTTTCTTAAAAAGCTCTTTCAAGTGTAATTTGCCTGAACTTTGTGGTTTATCAGCTGGGTTGGCCCTGCTTCAAAGCATGCAGCATGTGTTTTCACAGCTTCCAATTGAGTCTGTGGGAAATATAAGATTTTGTTTCTGGGATACTTTTTCAGGAATTAGCAGCTGAGATTTCAGGACTAGAGAAACAAAGAGATGAACTTGAAGCTCAACTGAAAAAGGTTTTTGTCCTATTTTCTCTTTTCCTTTTAATTTACGAAAAGGACATTTCGGTGGAGACATATTGTTGTCAGATATTGTTCTCATTAAATTTGTTGCTCCTATTTCTTGTCTTTCGATGTCTTTCATATTCTTATGCTGCTAAGAACCATATGCACTTTCTTATTTGTGCGATTGACTCAGTCCCATTATTACTTCGAAGGATTTTGATTTTAGTATTAAACCGGGTACTCACCATTTTATGAAAAGATCTAAAGTAAGAGAAACTTCATTTTTACTACGAAGTAAGTAAACCCATGTAAAACGAGAATAGCAATCAATAACAGTGACAAACCAACGATAACCAGAAATAGACACAGTACAAAAGGGTCTCCACTCGTCAAAGTGAATAATGACAAAGGAAGCAGTGATTTTATTATTAGTACTAAAAAAGTTTTTCCAAGACACCAAATAAAGGATGCCCCAAACTAAGAGTTGAAGAGCTAAAATACCATCTGCTTGAAGTGGTTAACTAGTAGAATGAGAAGAAGCTTCAGCATCCAAATGGTATAGATCACCATGTGTTCTACAACTGACTCCAAATCCTGAAAGATACAATGAGGATAAAAGGTTACTAAACAATTCAGGGAATTTGTAATACTACTAACAGTTAATAAATTAGTAGAAAATTTGGGGACATGAAGAACAGATGAAAGTGGTAAGATTGAAGAGCAATTAATTGAACCTTTTTTCTAAATAGAGGATAAAGATCCATCTGTCACTCGTACCTTATTCCTACCTAAACATGTAGAATATGAAGAGAAAACACTAGAGTAACCTGTCATGTGGTCCGTGGCTCCAGAGTCGATGATGAAACACTAAATGCACTAACAGATATACCTATTTGAGCAAAGTTAGTAGAAGAAGAAGCATGATTAGACACTATGGTAGAGGAAACATTAAGCTGAACTAAGAGTTTGCATCTCATCCTGAGTAAAAATGTACAAGTACTGTCACTAGATTGAGATGGATGCTTTGAAGATTCAGTCATGTATGCAGTAGATCACACAGTACCACCTTGGCTACGTGTGGGTCAACCAGTTAGCTTCTAGCAAAACTCCCTGGTATGCCTATTCTTCCCACAATAATTATACTTTAAGGTATCATTGTCATCAATGCCACTCTTATAAGTAGAAGTTACACTCACGTCCGACATGTCCAAACATTGAGATTATTGCAAAACACAAGTATCAACGAGAAAAACACAACTGAATAATTAGGGCATAACCAGAAAATACCCCCCAATAGGAGCAAAAACAATATCCAAGTGCCTAGCAGTCCCAAAAACAATACCAAACAGTGGCCAGATGCAAAACAGTGAACAAACAATACCAAACAGTACCAACCAAAAGCCAAACAGTATCCAAACAATGTTAAACAGTACCAAACAGTAGCCAAATGCAAAATAGGAACCCTATAGACCTGGTTTGGACTGCCGACAATCTATTTTAGCCAAAAAATCTCAAATATTCATTCCAAAAGCAACAAATCTGAATGGGTATTCAAGATCAACACTAGTCGCACCTTGCCTTGTTGATTCGAAGCAAAAACAGTTGAAGAATTCCTTAAAAATCCAGATTTCCACTCGTAATAGTAGAATGCTGAAAATCAAAATTCCAATCAAATGGCTTCGAAAAATTGCAGAAAAATAACCATAAATCTTAGAAAATAGAGATGAATATGATCATGTGTTTTTTTGATAAAATTTGGCATATTTTGATGCTGATGTCACCGTGTTAGATACTGACAACATCAACTGTTATGCAGTCAAACAATTTCCGTATCCCTCCGAAAACCTTTAGGCTTTAGATTATGATCAATGCTCTGATACCAAGTTAGAATATGAAGTTTTAGTTTGGAGAAGGAAAAGAGGAGGAAAAGAAGAGACAAACAACTATGGAGTATAATGTCATAGGTTACACTACACCCCAACTTATATTCATAAGCACAAAGTACAAAAATGCCATGCCCCCAAGCTAAAAAATAAATCATAACTAATAAATAAAAATAACTAACGGATATATAACAGTTTTATACTAACAATTTCATGACATGAGAGATGAAGCTCAGAGACTATTAAATGACGAGTTAATTGAATATGTACGACTACTCTTTCTCCCTTCTCTCTTTTCTCTTTTCTTGCAACATCATTCTTTTATAGAAAAGGAAAGCTTTGTTCCAAGCTGGGCTTGTTTTGGTGTCATGTAAATACATACATATATATTATGGACCATGTTTGACACTGTTTCTAGGAGTGTTGGTTTGTTGTGTTTGACTTTGTATTGGACACAGATATGGCCCTTCTAATAAGTGTTCTTGCTGTGTAGATTACTTCATATTGTATATTAGGATTGGTGAAGTCATTCTCAGAGTTTCAAAAGTGTTTTCTGCTGGACCGCTTTACTTGTATAAGTTACCATGTTTTAAGCTGTTATTTCTGGTTTGGTTTTTTAAATTATATGAGTCCTAGTTTGAGTTCAGTCAACAATCTTTTCTTTTGATTCAATAACTATATGTGGCTTTGAAGTTTGAACTGTCCATGTTGATGTTCTTTAAGTTCCATATGGCTTCGGTGACTAAGTGGGCTGGGATTTGGACAGATCTGGTGTGGCTTTAAGATTTTATGCATCTATAAATTGGCTCCCTTGATAGGGAGGTCATGAAATATGCTTTCTTGATTAAAGAAAGAGTGTGGAGCTTTTACATCACAGTGTGATCTCAGTTAGCTGAGTTGATTATTTTCGTGCTCTCTATTGTTAGTCTTGCTTATTAAATTTGTCCTTTTGCTGCAGTCTCTCTCTCTCTCTCTCTCTCTCGGGTAATTGTCATAACTTCAACTTTAAGCTTTAGATTCATTGACAACTAATCCGAACCCAACTAATCGCCTTTGCTTTGTGGTTCAGTCCTATAATACAAGACCCCTTTGTTGCTGTGCATCTGATAATTTGTACACTTGGTTTCAGCATTTGTTGTATAAGCTTGTGGGATCTGATTAGCCATACCATTTGAAGCAATTTGAGTTTGAAACTCATGTTTAATTAATTCAGGTCCACTGTCAGAAAACTATATATGGATTAATTAGCCAAATACGTTATTAACCAATTAGTAAAGGATAACAAAGTTTGATGATTTTCATTGACTGTTTTAAATTGAGGATGATCTATCAACTTTGATGTGGCTATGGACTCTGTTGAGCATGAACAATCCTACAGAAGGTACCTGCATCTCTGTTAACAGTCAAGCTATTGATAGATATGGAAATTACACTGTTACCCTTTAAGGTGAAGAATAACATGAGTACAACTCTGTGATGTAGAGGTTGGATGCATCGTACGTCATCCTAATATTTTATTTGCATGATCATCTGCTAACTTGCGATGGAAGAGTATTGTCAAGAGTAAAATTAAGGACTGAACTAAACATGGGTCCAATCAACATGGTATTCGATCCCAGGTAGTGCTTTAGCCAAGGTTTTGGTTACCAACTTGATAATTGTTTTTTCGGACATTTAATCCTTATGTTTGTGAAGGGTTGGTGAACATTGTTTCCCTCGATTATGCATATGTTTACCCCGAGTGTTTCTTTTATATTTGTGTTTCACTGATTATTATTCAGTTGCAAACATTTTTTAACTAAGGCATTTGGTTTAGGTCACTAGCTCCCTGGCTGCTGCTCAGGCTCGCCTGCACAATGTTAGAGAAGAGAGGGACCAATTCTATGAAGCTAATGATCACATTGTTGCTCATTTGAAAACAAAGGTCTTCTGTTATTTTTCCCTATCCTTTCCTTTCCAATTATTATTTTGATCGTTTTCCACTTCTTTCTGTGCTGTTTTAATCACTGATTTTCAGATTTTTGTTTTGTTGCATGCATATTGTGTGGCCTCATTTTTGATATATTTGTATGATCATCTTTACTATATTTCAATATATAGGAAGATGAACTGTCAAGATCCATTGGTTCATGTAAAATTGAAGCAGATGTTCTTAATACTTGGATCAATTTCTTAGAAGATACTTGGGTTCTTCAGTGCTCATATACAGAGATCAAGGAGAAGGAGGTCAAGTATGTCTCTGAATCCAGGGTTCTTGTATATCCTCTCTTTGGGCTTTTCTGTTTCATATAATCATCGAAAATACAGAATTTGTGCAGTTACTAATTTGCTGCTTTACATTTTCAAGTGATGAATTGAAGAGACACGAGGGCTATTTTCTGAAGTTGGTTATTGAACTCCTCACTGCTTATGAGGTATTGATTATACTCTTTCGGTTCTCAAAAAAAAGATCATATTCTTTCATCAGAATATTAATCTACTTGATTACACTTGCTGGGCTATGTATTGAAATCCTTCCCCCCACCCACAAAAAATAAATAAATAAATAAAGGAAAAAAAAAGAAGAGAAAAGACTGAAAAAAAACCTTCCCTGGTTAATTCTCTTTACCTTGTTTCTTTGCATACAATCTTTTTTTTCTTTTACAGATAGAGTTGAGCCCTTGTATCGACCGAATTGGGAAATATGTGGAGAACCTTAAGAGCTTAAGTGAAGGGTAATGTAGTTTTTGTCTTGTAATTGTTATGTCCTATATTGGCTACATGTCTGAAACTTGTGATGTCACAAGTCAGGTCAGAGAAAACATCTGATGCAAATGACGAGGGTTCAAAAGTATTAAACCCAAGGAAAAATCTTGAGGAGGAATATCTGGACTATGAAGCAAAGGTACAAGTGTCACATATTCATATTTTTTCATTCAGCCATGACTTTTATTTCATATGACCTGATAGAACTTATGGTCCTCTTATGATGCTGATGTAAAACACTTCGCTTTTCACCCTTCCCACCTCTTTTCCTCACTCAGTTTCTTCACAATTTTCTTTCTGACCTACTATCCTTCACTGCTCGAGTTATGATGCACAAAAATGGAAGATATTTCATTTTGCGTTGTTTTATTTTGGATTAAGCTAATGATTATTGAGAAGCAGAGAAAAAGATTTTGAGTTTTCAACTTGCATAGTTATCCGGTGATATTTTTCATAATATTGAGAATCACACCTACTGATCTTTTTTAACTTGTTCAGTTTGCAAAATTCCCATATTTCGAAGTTGTCTTCATTATGGGACCGCTCCCCTGCCCCCAGTTACGGGAAAAAGGAAATGGGGGGGATGGACATACCTGCAATTTGCTTGCCCACCTTCAGCTTGTGGATATCCTTTTTTTTTTTTTCTTCCAGGATTCCTTGTCACATTTGTCTATGCACCAGTGCCCTTATCTCTAGCGAATTTTATTCTATTTCATGCTGAATAAATTTGAACTCTAATGCGTTTTGTTGATTTGCTGCTTGTTAAATCTGAAATTCTATACGTGTTTATTGATTAGCTTCTATATTTTTTTTTCTGTCTGTTGTGTTCTAAGTCCAGATTATAACCACATTTAGTGTAGTGGAAAATATGAAAGAGCAGTTCTATGCCCAACAAGGGAAATTATCTTGGTGAGTATGCACTGTGCTATTGCAGTTTATCATTTTATTACAGACTGTTATTATCCCTCTTGCAATGTACATCAAATTTCCTGAAAGTGGAATGCTTGGTTTCTCTTCATCCAGGAAAGATGATCCGAGGGTCAAAGAGCTTTTCGATAATATTGAAAAACTAAGAGAAGAATTTGAATCAATTGAGAGACCAAATTTAGAAATGGAAACTCCTCCCCAAGAGGAACACACTCCAGCCAGTAAGACGCCACAAGAAAGCCAGCCACATCCAATAATGCAGGCCACCGAGACTCCAGAAGCTGAGAAAAATGAGCACCCTCAATCTCCTACGGTGAGGACAGAGCGGTTGCTAGACCCTGAAGCCGAATTGGCAAAGCTGGAGTCTGAATTCGGGAAGGTTAATCGAGAATACTCAGCAGAAGAAATTGGTGAGTGGGAATTCGATGAGCTTGAGAAAGAATTGAGATCTAGTGATGCGGCCACGAGCAAATAATTTGTTACAGATGATACAAATCGATAATCTTTTCCATTGAGTTCTAATAAATCAACTGCGATTACATGAGAAAAAATGTGTTTGACCTCCCTCAATGATGTATTATGACTTTGGGAGATGTTCTTACGGAGTTCCAATCCATTCTTTCTTGTGTAAATTCTGGAACTTGTATGTAACCTTAAAAAGTTCACGTCATTTGTGTATGAAATACTTTGTTTGGATGTAAAAGATAGCTGTTACATTTCTTAGGATATGCCATGTTCCATCTGAAAATGTTTAAGTACATGTTATGTAGTCCTTTTTTTTTTTTTTTTTTCTTTTATTCATTTGTACCTCAAGTATGTAAATATAACGTTCTATATTTTTATAATGTGCCTTTATGTTTGGTGAAGATTCGTCCCCCACCGGAATAAATAGAAAGGTTCCACTTTTCCAAACCTCTTGAGGAAAATAAAGTTCAAATTAATTTTCTGCTAGGAGTGAAATGCGAGAGACACACCTTGTCTTGTATTCCAATGAAGCCATCAAAATATAAAGGAACGAATTAGTTGTCGTCTCCACAAATTTCGTAAGAGAATAACACAGAATATTATAAGCATTCATAATAAATTTTTACCTGATTTGTGTGTCTACTAAGCTATCAAATCAAAAGTTAATTTTTTTTAGCTATTTTCTCCGCAATAGTAAATTTATTGAATCTCCGTTAACGTTGATCAAAATATCTTAGCAAGACTTTTTGTTAAATGATTCTGTCATAGCAGCATCATGTATTTGGATCCGTTGTTGAAATTGTTATGATCACCAATTTTTTTAACTTTGAATTTTCTCCTGGCCAACCCTTAACCCAAACTCTAATACTAGTTTGTTATGAACAAAAGTTACAAATAGAATGAAATAGAAAAATACAAAAAACAAATTTATATGGATTGTCTCGAAAGCTTATGGGCGAAGTGCAGTAACAAAGTTTCACTATCAACAAAGAAATATTACACAAAATTTTTTAATCAAAAGAATATAACCAAACATTAATGTCCAAATTTGAGGGCCCAAATTTCCAAAAATAAAAAACAAACTAAGTGGTCTATAGTATATTTATAGACCTAAAATACTTTATCTGTTAATTAATACAATAGAGTTTTTAATTAGTCTTTTACAATAGAATTCCAGCACTTTCAAATTTTCTAAAAAGAATAAAGTCCAAATTAATTTCTTACTTGGCATAGAATACAAGACATCCACAAGAAGGATAATAAAAGATAGTTTAGACGCTGATCTTCTTGAGTGCTGATTGGTGACCTCATTTCCAAAAATGCTCGAACCTTTACTAGATTGACTTCGATCCCTCTCTGATTCACGATGAACCCCAAAAATTTTTTTGTTGATATTTCAAAGGCATACTTGGTGAGGTTGAACTTCATTCAATACATATTGAGTGGATACTCAATTATGAAGTGACTTTATTTCTAGTATACTTTCTTTCAATAATCGATATTTTAAATCTCTCTTATTATGAATTCAAATAGGACACTGTTTATTGGTAAGTCCTTCACCGATATACAGTGAATGAGATTTAACATTGAGTGAAGTCGAAGGAAATTGTATGAGTGGGAATTTGGTCCCTTCAAATTGAGAGGAACATTTGATATACGAAAGGGACCACTCCTACTTCCTCATAAAGGGGTGGGGTGGTTGTATGATCTTTGTTTATGTTGATGGATGGAAAAACTTTCCTGATATAGAACTTGAAGTTTGTAGTCCTTTGAAGGGCATCATCATTGTCCAGGGGGCTACCATGCTTTCAACAAAAGGGTACACAAACTGGTGCACTTCAACATCACTCAAAAAGGATAGGCTTTGCTGCAAACTGTTTTAGACAATGTGGCATTCTTCATCTCTCAATGTCAATGGTGTCGCAGGGTATATACCCGGCAACCAAGGCCCATCGGAGAGGCTCTACTTGTTGTTTCTTGATGTTATCAAAGGAAAAATAGCATCCAGATTTTCTGGGGGGTGGTGGGTCTTTTTTGATGGATACATGTATGGCTGTTCTTGTTCATAGTTTTTGTTGTGCCCCTTGGGTTTCTGAAAGACTATTGATTTTGTTCTCATTAATCAAATGCAAATTTTTTTTTTGAAGATTGTATGAGTGCAAAAAGCTCCTGCTTACAACCGGATTTAAATGAATTAAGTGGCAGACAAACTTATTCACATTTTAGAGAGGCTGATTCAAATAATCGAACCCGATGTATGGTTCGGATTGGTCAATTAGTTTAACTATTGAAATGCTTTGGGCCGCGGTTAGCACCAAACAATATACGCTTTGATGCCTTGGACATTGCTGCAAAGACTAGAACCTAAGGAATAAGAGATCTATAGCTGTGTTTGCATGAGAGCAGAACAGGTCTAACCAACTGTTTGAATTTTGGTAAAAGGGTCATCCCTTTGGCTTTCCTTTGTCATATCAGTGGTGAAAAAGAAAAGACTTGAACGGGTTACTTGAACTTAATTTGTTGAATTTATTTATTTGTTGACTTAATCATTTTTTTGTCGTTGGATTGATAGTAAATCTCATTGTTGATTGGGACCGTTATCAATTCAATGACTATGATGCATTAAATCAATAAATTAGGTGTTTAATTAGGTCCAAATGGCGTTGCTTAAACTTTTTTTTTCTTTAAAAAAAGACAAACAGAAGTCTCGAACTTCGAAGGTNAAAAAAAAAAAAAAAAACTAGTCAAAGTATTTAAAACATGTTTATTCCTATTTAACGAAAATAGTCTATATTTATCTCACTTTAAAATGACATACTTATACATGTGTATATGTATTCTGCTATTTTTACTTTGGAAGAATGAAACAAACTCGGACAAAAAATATAAATTAAAATACAAAACTGGTGATTATCCAAAAATTATTTAAAAATAAAAAATAAAACATATTTTAAGAGAGAGTTATCCGATTACACTTTATTTTCTTACGCAACTCAACCCGACAAAGTTTTTATTCATACAGGATCATTACTTACCAACATACAGCTAATAATCATTATTCATTCATGGATTCAAAGCTCAATACTTTTGTTGTTTACCTCTTTCTTTGAGTGATTAAGAAACATTAAATTACTACATAGGCCCACCATGTAAATAACTGTTTTTTACTCAGTCAGCTACAGTGCTCTGTTAGTAATATGTCTCTCAATCGTGTCGATGAGATAAGTTTTGTATTGATTTTAATTAGTTTGTGCCAAAAAATATTCTATTCGTACCAATTCGTTTATTGGTTTGTGACTAACAAGTCATGTCATATTAAATTTGTATCATATATAAATCATTTATAACCGATATACAAATGAGTTGTATCGTATATTTTTTTTAATTGACTTCACTCGTACCCTATTCGTTTATTAATCGTGTCGTGTCAAATCTACTCTTTTACAAAAAAGTGGCTTAAAAAAACCCAAGCCTTATAATTTCATATGGTGTTGACGAGTTGTGTTATATATTGACACCGCTAGTTAGAAACCCAAACCACATTAAGAGAAATTGATTACTGTCCACAATGTATTAGATACAAATAGCATCATTCATTTATTTTTTTAGCTTTCTTTAAGAAAAAAAGAAAGAGAAAAGAACCCCCCCAAAACCAAAAAAAAGAAAGAAAAATTGAGAGAGAACAAGCAACCACAAGTGAGCCAAAAAAAAATTTAATCCAGGAAAGATATAAAATGTAGGCAAAAGTTGAGGAAAGATTAAACATATAAGCATGGTTCAGTGCTGGACCACTAAAAAAACTTCCCCATAACGTTTTGAATCTCATGTTTGGAAGCATTAAAAAAATTAACTCAAATTCTTAGTGTTTCTCATGAATCCTTTCTTTTTCCATGTCCCACCACCTTTCCCTCAGTTTTAAAGGGTGCTCTTCCCTTCCTTTCCCTTCACAAATCTCACATTCCCACAAGCACAAGCAATAGCCCAGAGAGATACACAGAGAGAGAGAGAGAGAGAGAGAGCTAAAATGGCTGAAAGTATTCTTTCATATGACCATGAAGATGAAGACTACATTGACATAGAACTCAGCTCACATTCCAATTTGTTCTGTCACTCAAAAAGTTCTCCTCCACACCCACTAGAATTTGAATTCCAAATGTTTTCAAGCTCCTCAGAGAGAGATACCACAACTTCCCCAGCTGATGAGCTCTTCTACAAAGGACAGCTCCTTCCCCTTCACCTCCCTCCTCGCTTACAAATGGTTGAAAAACTCCTCCATCACTCCAACTCTTATCACAACAAATCAGATATTACAATTGATGAGTTTTTCAGCACTCCTTTAACCACCAACACAAACACCACTCCTATTGCCAATACCCCATTTGAGTCCTGCAATATCTCGCCGTCAGATTCTTGCCAAGTTAGCAGAGAACTGAGCCCTGATGAGTATTTCCTCGAGTATTCGACAGTATCAAACAATTTCATTGGCGAAAACCCGAAAAAGTCATGGACCGAAAAGCTTAAGCTAATCAAACAGTCCTCAATTGGCTCAAAGCTGAAGGCTTCCCGGACTTATCTGAAGTCTTTGTTTAGTAAATCTGGTTGTTCAGATGAGTCCACTGCAGCAACTCCAAGAAAGTTTGATGATGAATCATTTCCAAAGGCTAAGGACTGTGTAAACAAGTATGCGAGGGTACCAAAAATGAAGACTCCATTTGGACAAATTCAAAGAGAGAGAAACCAAATGTCCATGAGAAGTTTTAACAAAGAAAAGATTGCTGAGGATGGCCATGGTCATCATAGGAGGTCTTTTTCGGTGGCTCTCAAACGGTTTTCAANCTCTCTCTCTCTCTCTCTCTCTCAGGTAATTGTCATAACTTCAACTTTAAGCTTTAGATTCATTGACAACTAATCCGAACCCAACTAATCGCCTTTGCTTTGTGGTTCAGTCCTATAATACAAGACCCCTTTGTTGCTGTGCATCTGATAATTTGTACACTTGGTTTCAGCATTTGTTGTATAAGCTTGTGGGATCTGATTAGCCATACCATTTGAAGCAATTTGAGTTTGAAACTCATGTTTAATTAATTCAGGTCCACTGTCAGAAAACTATATATGGATTAATTAGCCAAATACGTTATTAACCAATTAGTAAAGGATAACAAAGTTTGATGATTTTCATTGACTGTTTTAAATTGAGGATGATCTATCAACTTTGATGTGGCTATGGACTCTGTTGAGCATGAACAATCCTACAGAAGGTACCTGCATCTCTGTTAACAGTCAAGCTATTGATAGATATGGAAATTACACTGTTACCCTTTAAGGTGAAGAATAACATGAGTACAACTCTGTGATGTAGAGGTTGGATGCATCGTACGTCATCCTAATATTTTATTTGCATGATCATCTGCTAACTTGCGATGGAAGAGTATTGTCAAGAGTAAAATTAAGGACTGAACTAAACATGGGTCCAATCAACATGGTATTCGATCCCAGGTAGTGCTTTAGCCAAGGTTTTGGTTACCAACTTGATAATTGTTTTTTCGGACATTTAATCCTTATGTTTGTGAAGGGTTGGTGAACATTGTTTCCCTCGATTATGCATATGTTTACCCCGAGTGTTTCTTTTATATTTGTGTTTCACTGATTATTATTCAGTTGCAAACATTTTTTAACTAAGGCATTTGGTTTAGGTCACTAGCTCCCTGGCTGCTGCTCAGGCTCGCCTGCACAATGTTAGAGAAGAGAGGGACCAATTCTATGAAGCTAATGATCACATTGTTGCTCATTTGAAAACAAAGGTCTTCTGTTATTTTTCCCTATCCTTTCCTTTCCAATTATTATTTTGATCGTTTTCCACTTCTTTCTGTGCTGTTTTAATCACTGATTTTCAGATTTTTGTTTTGTTGCATGCATATTGTGTGGCCTCATTTTTGATATATTTGTATGATCATCTTTACTATATTTCAATATATAGGAAGATGAACTGTCAAGATCCATTGGTTCATGTAAAATTGAAGCAGATGTTCTTAATACTTGGATCAATTTCTTAGAAGATACTTGGGTTCTTCAGTGCTCATATACAGAGATCAAGGAGAAGGAGGTCAAGTATGTCTCTGAATCCAGGGTTCTTGTATATCCTCTCTTTGGGCTTTTCTGTTTCATATAATCATCGAAAATACAGAATTTGTGCAGTTACTAATTTGCTGCTTTACATTTTCAAGTGATGAATTGGAGAGACACGAGGGCTATTTTCTGAAGTTGGTTATTGAACTCCTCACTGCTTATGAGGTATTGATTATACTCTTTCGGTTCTCAAAAAAAAGATCATATTCTTTCATCAGAATATTAATCTACTTGATTACACTTGCTGGGCTATGTATTGAAATCCTTCCCCCCACCCACAAAAAATAAATAAATAAATAAAGGAAAAAAAAAGAAGAGAAAAGACTGAAAAAAAACCTTCCCTGGTTAATTCTCTTTACCTTGTTTCTTTGCATACAATCTTTTTTTTCTTTTACAGATAGAGTTGAGCCCTTGTATCGACCGAATTGGGAAATATGTGGAGAACCTTAAGAGCTTAAGTGAAGGGTAATGTAGTTTTTGTCTTGTAATTGTTATGTCCTATATTGGCTACATGTCTGAAACTTGTGATGTCACAAGTCAGGTCAGAGAAAACATCTGATGCAAATGACGAGGGTTCAAAAGTATTAAACCCAAGGAAAAATCTTGAGGAGGAATATCTGGACTATGAAGCAAAGGTACAAGTGTCACATATTCATATTTTTTCATTCAGCCATGACTTTTATTTCATATGACCTGATAGAACTTATGGTCCTCTTATGATGCTGATGTAAAACACTTCGCTTTTCACCCTTCCCACCTCTTTTCCTCACTCAGTTTCTTCACAATTTTCTTTCTGACCTACTATCCTTCACTGCTCGAGTTATGATGCACAAAAATGGAAGATATTTCATTTTGCGTTGTTTTATTTTGGATTAAGCTAATGATTATTGAGAAGCAGAGAAAAAGATTTTGAGTTTTCAACTTGCATAGTTATCCGGTGATATTTTTCATAATATTGAGAATCACACCTACTGATCTTTTTTAACTTGTTCAGTTTGCAAAATTCCCATATTTCGAAGTTGTCTTCATTATGGGACCGCTCCCCTGCCCCCAGTTACGGGAAAAAGGAAATGGGGGGGATGGACATACCTGCAATTTGCTTGCCCACCTTCAGCTTGTGGATATCCTTTTTTTTTTTTTCTTCCAGGATTCCTTGTCACATTTGTCTATGCACCAGTGCCCTTATCTCTAGCGAATTTTATTCTATTTCATGCTGAATAAATTTGAACTCTAATGCGTTTTGTTGATTTGCTGCTTGTTAAATCTGAAATTCTATACGTGTTTATTGATTAGCTTCTATATTTTTTTTTCTGTCTGTTGTGTTCTAAGTCCAGATTATAACCACATTTAGTGTAGTGGAAAATATGAAAGAGCAGTTCTATGCCCAACAAGGGAAATTATCTTGGTGAGTATGCACTGTGCTATTGCAGTTTATCATTTTATTACAGACTGTTATTATCCCTCTTGCAATGTACATCAAATTTCCTGAAAGTGGAATGCTTGGTTTCTCTTCATCCAGGAAAGATGATCCGAGGGTCAAAGAGCTTTTCGATAATATTGAAAAACTAAGAGAAGAATTTGAATCAATTGAGAGACCAAATTTAGAAATGGAAACTCCTCCCCAAGAGGAACACACTCCAGCCAGTAAGACGCCACAAGAAAGCCAGCCACATCCAATAATGCAGGCCACCGAGACTCCAGAAGCTGAGAAAAATGAGCACCCTCAATCTCCTACGGTGAGGACAGAGCGGTTGCTAGACCCTGAAGCCGAATTGGCAAAGCTGGAGTCTGAATTCGGGAAGGTTAATCGAGAATACTCAGCAGAAGAAATTGGTGAGTGGGAATTCGATGAGCTTGAGAAAGAATTGAGATCTAGTGATGCGGCCACGAGCAAATAATTTGTTACAGATGATACAAATCGATAATCTTTTCCATTGAGTTCTAATAAATCAACTGCGATTACATGAGAAAAAATGTGTTTGACCTCCCTCAATGATGTATTATGACTTTGGGAGATGTTCTTACGGAGTTCCAATCCATTCTTTCTTGTGTAAATTCTGGAACTTGTATGTAACCTTAAAAAGTTCACGTCATTTGTGTATGAAATACTTTGTTTGGATGTAAAAGATAGCTGTTACATTTCTTAGGATATGCCATGTTCCATCTGAAAATGTTTAAGTACATGTTATGTAGTCCTTTTTTTTTTTTTTTTTTCTTTTATTCATTTGTACCTCAAGTATGTAAATATAACGTTCTATATTTTTATAATGTGCCTTTATGTTTGGTGAAGATTCGTCCCCCACCGGAATAAATAGAAAGGTTCCACTTTTCCAAACCTCTTGAGGAAAATAAAGTTCAAATTAATTTTCTGCTAGGAGTGAAATGCGAGAGACACNTCCACTTTTCCAAACCTCTTGAGGAAAATAAAGTTCAAATTAATTTTCTGCTAGGAGTGAAATGCGAGAGACACGTAACAAATTTTCACCTTGTCTTGTATTCCAATGAAGCCATCAAAATATAAAGGAACGAATTAGTTGTCGTCTCCACAAATTTCGTAAGAGAATAACACAGAATATTATAAGCATTCATAATAAATTTTTACCTGATTTGTGTGTCTACTAAGCTATCAAATCAAAAGTTAATTTTTTTTAGCTATTTTCTCCGCAATAGTAAATTTATTGAATCCCCGTTAACGTTGATCAAAATATCTTAGCAAGACTTTTTGTTAAATGATTCTGTCAATAGCAGCATCATGTATTTGGATCCGTTGTTGAAATTGTTATGATCACTAATTTTTTTAACTTTGAATTTTCTCCTGGCCAACCCTTAACCGAAGCTCTAATACTAGTTTGTTATGAACAAAAGTTACAAATGGAATGAAATAGAAAAATACGAAACACAAATTTATATGGATTGTCTCGAAAGCTTATGGGCGAAGTGCAGTAACAAAGTTTCACTATCAACAAAGAAATATTATACAAAATTTTTTAATCAAAAGAATATAACCAAACATTAATGTCCAAATTTGAGGGCCCAAATTTCCAAAAATAAAAAACAAACTAAGTGGTCTATAGTATATTTATAGACCTAAAATACTTTATCTGTTAATTAATACAATAGAATTCCAGCACTTTCAAATTTTCTAAAAAGAATAAAGTCCAAATTAATTTCTTACTTGGCATAGAATACTAGACATCCACAAGAAGGATAATAAAAGATAGTTTGATCTTATCCAACATTAGTCCCAAAAAAATTTTTGCTGATATTTCAAAGGCATACTCGGTGAGGTTGAACTTCATTCAATACATATTGAGTGGATACTCAATTATGAAGTGACTTTATTTCTAGTATACTTTCTTTCAATAATCGATAATTTAAATCTCTCTTATTATGAATTCAAATAGGACACTGTTTATTGGTAAGTCCTTCACCGATATACAGTGAATGAGATTTAACATTGAGTGAAGTCGAAGGAAATTGTATGAGTGGGAATTTGGTCCCTTCAAATTGAGAGGAACATTTGATATACGAAAGGGACCACTCCTACTTCCTCATAAAGGGGTGGGGTGGTTGTATGATCTTTGTTTATGTTGATGGATGGAAAAACTTTCCTGATATAGAACTTGAAGTTTGTAGTCCTTTGAAGGGCATCATCATTGTCCAGGGGGCTACCATGCTTTCAACAAAAGGGTACACAAACTGGTGCACTTCAACATCACTCAAAAAGGATAGGCTTTGCTGCAAACTGTTTTAGACAATGTGGCATTCTTCATCTCTCAATGTCAATGGTGTCGCAGGGTATATACCCGGCAACCAAGGCCCATCGGAGAGGCTCTACTTGTTGTTTCTTGATGTTATCAAAGGAAAAATAGCATCCAGATTTTCTGGGGGGTGGTGGGTCTTTTTTGATGGATACATGTATGGCTGTTCTTGTTCATAGTTTTTGTTGTGCCCCTTGGGTTTCTGAAAGACTATTGATTTTGTTCTCATTAATCAAATGCAAATTTTTTTTTTGAAGATTGTATGAGTGCAAAAAGCTCCTGCTTACAACCGGATTTAAATGAATTAAGTGGCAGACAAACTTATTCACATTTTAGAGAGGCTGATTCAAATAATCGAACCCGATGTATGGTTCGGATTGGTCAATTAGTTTAACTATTGAAATGCTTTGGGCCGCGGTTAGCACCAAACAATATACGCTTTGATGCCTTGGACATAGCTGCAAAGACTAGAACCTAAGGAATAAGAGATCTATAGCTGTGTTTGCATGAGAGCAGAACAGGTCTAACCAACTGTTTGAATTTTGGTAAAAGGGTCATCCCTTTGGCTTTCCTTTGTCATATCAGTGGTGAAAAAGAAAAGACTTGAACGGGTTACTTGAACTTAATTTGTTGAATTTATTTATTTGTTGACTTAATCATTTTTTTGTCATTGGATTGATAGTAAATCTCATTGTTGATTGGGACCGTTATCAATTCAATGACTATGATGCATTAAATCAATAAGTTAGGTGTTTAATTAGGTCCAAATAGCGATGCTTAACTTTTCTTTTCTTTAAAAAAAGACAAACAGAAGTCTCGAACTTCGAAGGTATGCCCTCCATTNGTTACTTGAACTTAATTTGTTGAATTTATTTATTTGTTGACTTAATCATTTTTTTGTCGTTGGATTGATAGTAAATCTCATTGTTGATTGGGACCGTTATCAATTCAATGACTATGATGCATTAAATCAATAAATTAGGTGTTTAATTAGGTCCAAATGGCGTTGCTTAAACTTTTTTTTTCTTTAAAAAAAGACAAACAGAAGTCTCGAACTTCGAAGGTATGCCCTCCATTTCCCTCTTCCCCACCATTAAATGTCGGATCAAGTGTTTGTTCTTTGTATGAGGCCAACAGTCATCTCTCTCTCTCTCTCTCTCTCTCTCCATAGATATACATATCTCTAAAGATGCACAAGAATTGATGAATTTCTAAGAAGAGACAGCCATGGAAAAGTCATGGGTCTCTTAAAAGACAAAAAACAAGTGATAAAACAAACCCAGGAATCCAGTAAAAGTAGTAAATTTAAGTAAAGCAAAAGTGGTTCTTTAGCTCTAAATGCTATTGAATTTCAAGTGTCTTCTTCAAAGTTATGTATTAATTATTTGCATGCACAGAGAGAGAGAGAGAGAGAGAGAGAGAGAGAGAGATGAGAGATGAGAGTGCAGAAAACCAGGCTTTGAAATATGGAATAATAAAAAAAAATGGAATAATAACAAACTTGAGTTCCTCTAAGCATGGTTTGTATTTTAGAAAATACTAGTAATGTCAGCGTGGGTGCTCTAATTAATGGTTCCCTATCATATAGTTAAACATAATGAAGTATNATGAGAGATGAGAGTGCAGAAAACCAGGCTTTGAAATATGGAATAATAAAAAAAAAATGGAATAATAACAAACTTGAGTTCCTCTAAGCATGGTTTGTATTTTAGAAAATACTAGTAATGTAAGCGTGGGTGCTCTAATTAATGGTTCCCTATCATATAGTTAAACATAATGAAGTATGCCATCAAAGGAAGTGTATAAATCCAACACATATTTAGTGTAGCTTCATAATGGTTTTTTTTTTTTTTTTTAATAATATTTTTAAGCACAAAAAAAAAAAAAAAAAAAACTAGTCAAAGTATTTAAAACATGTTTATTCCTATTTAACGAAAATAGTCTATATTTATCTCACTTTAAAATGACATACTTATACATGTGTTTATGTATTCTGCTATTTTTACTTTGGAAGAATGAAACAAACTCGGACAAAAAATATAAATTAAAATACAAAACTGGTGATTATCCAAAAATTATTTAAAAATAAAAAATAAAACATATTTTAAGAGAGAGTTATCCGATTACACTTTATTTTCTTACGCAACTCAACCCGACAAAGTTTTTATTCATACAGGATCATTACTTACCAACATACAGCTAATAATCATTATTCATTCATGGATTCAAAGCTCAATACTTTTGTTGTTTACCTCTTTCTTTGAGTGATTAAGAAACATTAAATTACTACATAGGCCCACCATGTAAATAACTGTTTTTTACTCAGTCAGCTACAGTGCTCTGTTAGTAATATGTCTCTCAATCGTGTCGATGAGATAAGTTTTGTATTGATTTTAATTAGTTTGTGCCAAAAAATATTCTATTCGTACCAATTCGTTTATTGGTTTGTGACTAACAAGTCATGTCATATTAAATTTGTATCATATATAAATCATTTATAACCGATATACAAATGAGTTGTATCGTATATTTTTTTTAATTGACTTCACTCGTACCCTATTCGTTTATTAATCGTGTCGTGTCAAATCTACTCTTTTACAAAAAAGTGGCTTANTTAATCGTATATTTTTTTTTGATTGACTTCCCTCGTACCCTATTCGTTTATTAATCGTGTCGTGTCAAATCCACTCTTTTACAAAAAAGTGGCCTAAAAAGACCCAAGCCTTATAATTTCATATGGTGTTGACGAGTTGTGTTATATATTGACACCGCTAGTTAGAAACCCAAACCACATTAAGAGAAATTGATTACTGTCCACAATGTATTAGATACAAATAGCATCATTCATTTATTTTTTTAGCTTTCTTTAAGAAAAAAAGAAAGAGAAAAGAACCCCCCCAAAACCAAAAAAAAGAAAGAAAAATTGAGAGAGAACAAGCAACCACAAGTGAGCCAAAAAAAAATTTAATCCAGGAAAGATATAAAATGTAGGCAAAAGTTGAGGAAAGATTAAACATATAAGCATGGTTCAGTGCTGGACCACTAAAAAAACTTCCCCATAACGTTTTGAATCTCATGTTTGGAAGCATTAAAAAAATTAACTCAAATTCTTAGTGTTTCTCATGAATCCTTTCTTTTTCCATGTCCCACCACCTTTCCCTCAGTTTTAAAGGGTGCTCTTCCCTTCCTTTCCCTTCACAAATCTCACATTCCCACAAGCACAAGCAATAGCCCAGAGAGATACACAGAGAGAGAGAGAGAGAGAGAGAGCTAAAATGGCTGAAAGTATTCTTTCATATGACCATGAAGATGAAGACTACATTGACATAGAACTCAGCTCACATTCCAATTTGTTCTGTCACTCAAAAAGTTCTCCTCCACACCCACTAGAATTTGAATTCCAAATGTTTTCAAGCTCCTCAGAGAGAGATACCACAACTTCCCCAGCTGATGAGCTCTTCTACAAAGGACAGCTCCTTCCCCTTCACCTCCCTCCTCGCTTACAAATGGTTGAAAAACTCCTCCATCACTCCAACTCTTATCACAACAAATCAGATATTACAATTGATGAGTTTTTCAGCACTCCTTTAACCACCAACACAAACACCACTCCTATTGCCAATACCCCATTTGAGTCCTGCAATATCTCGCCTTCAGATTCTTGCCAAGTTAGCAGAGAACTGAGCCCTGATGAGTATTTCCTCGAGTATTCGACAGTATCAAACAATTTCATTGGCGAAAACCCGAAAAAGTCATGGACCGAAAAGCTTAAGCTAATCAAACAGTCCTCAATTGGCTCAAAGCTGAAGGCTTCCCGGACTTATCTGAAGTCTTTGTTTAGTAAATCTGGTTGTTCAGATGAGTCCACTGCAGCAACTCCAAGAAAGTTTGATGATGAATCATTTCCAAAGGCTAAGGACTGTGTAAACAAGTATGCGAGGGTACCAAAAATGAAGACTCCATTTGGACAAATTCAAAGAGAGAGAAACCAAATGTCCATGAGAAGTTTTAACAAAGAAAAGATTGCTGAGGATGGCCATGGTCATCATAGGAGGTCTTTTTCGGTGGCTCTCAAACGGTTTTCAATGACCAAGTCGTCTTCTTTTTCATTGTCTTCGTCTGGTTCTTCATCTTCAAGCTTGAGTGATTCGAAAAGGTTACATGAGCTTCAAATTATTAACAGAAGTTGCAGTACAAGTATGTCAGAGTTCGAAAATTCAATTCAGGCAGCAATTGCTCANTGTATCGTATATTTTTTTTAATTGACTTCACTCGTACCCTATTCGTTTATTAATCGTGTCGTGTCAAATCTACTCTTTTACAAAAAAGTGGCTTAAAAAAACCCAAGCCTTATAATTTCATATGGTGTTGACGAGTTGTGTTATATATTGACACCGCTAGTTAGAAACCCAAACCACATTAAGAGAAATTGATTACTGTCCACAATGTATTAGATACAAATAGCATCATTCATTTATTTTTTTAGCTTTCTTTAAGAAAAAAAGAAAGAGAAAAGAACCCCCCCAAAACCAAAAAAAAGAAAGAAAAATTGAGAGAGAACAAGCAACCACAAGTGAGCCAAAAAAAAATTTAATCCAGGAAAGATATAAAATGTAGGCAAAAGTTGAGGAAAGATTAAACATATAAGCATGGTTCAGTGCTGGACCACTAAAAAAACTTCCCCATAACGTTTTGAATCTCATGTTTGGAAGCATTAAAAAAATTAACTCAAATTCTTAGTGTTTCTCATGAATCCTTTCTTTTTCCATGTCCCACCACCTTTCCCTCAGTTTTAAAGGGTGCTCTTCCCTTCCTTTCCCTTCACAAATCTCACATTCCCACAAGCACAAGCAATAGCCCAGAGAGATACACAGAGAGAGAGAGAGAGCTAAAATGGCTGAAAGTATTCTTTCATATGACCATGAAGATGAAGACTACATTGACATAGAACTCAGCTCACATTCCAATTTGTTCTGTCACTCAAAAAGTTCTCCTCCACACCCACTAGAATTTGAATTCCAAATGTTTTCAAGCTCCTCAGAGAGAGATACCACAACTTCCCCAGCTGATGAGCTCTTCTACAAAGGACAGCTCCTTCCCCTTCACCTCCCTCCTCGCTTACAAATGGTTGAAAAACTCCTCCATCACTCCAACTCTTATCACAACAAATCAGATATTACAATTGATGAGTTTTTCAGCACTCCTTTAACCACCAACACAAACACCACTCCTATTGCCAATACCCCATTTGAGTCCTGCAATATCTCGCCGTCAGATTCTTGCCAAGTTAGCAGAGAACTGAGCCCTGATGAGTATTTCCTCGAGTATTCGACAGTATCAAACAATTTCATTGGCGAAAACCCGAAAAAGTCATGGACCGAAAAGCTTAAGCTAATCAAACAGTCCTCAATTGGCTCAAAGCTGAAGGCTTCCCGGACTTATCTGAAGTCTTTGTTTAGTAAATCTGGTTGTTCAGATGAGTCCACTGCAGCAACTCCAAGAAAGTTTGATGATGAATCATTTCCAAAGGCTAAGGACTGTGTAAACAAGTATGCGAGGGTACCAAAAATGAAGACTCCATTTGGACAAATTCAAAGAGAGAGAAACCAAATGTCCATGAGAAGTTTTAACAAAGAAAAGATTGCTGAGGATGGCCATGGTCATCATAGGAGGTCTTTTTCGGTGGCTCTCAAACGGTTTTCAACGACCAAGTCGTCTTCTTTTTCATTGTCTTCGTCTGGTTCTTCATCTTCAAGCTTGAGTGATTCGAAAAGGTTACATGAGCTTCAAATTATTAACAGAAGTTGCAGTACAAGTATGTCAGAGTTCGAAAATTCAATTCAGGCAGCAATTGCTCATTGTAAAAGGGCTCAACAGCAGTTCTGTTCAAGAAAGACTGCAAATGAAATTGGGTATTGCTCATTGTCAGCTTCCAGAATTGTTTGTGAGGATCAAGCAAGACCAGGACTTTGTAGGGGATAAAGCCATATGAGAGAGAGAGAGAGAGAGAGAGAGGTCAAAGTACAAATTTTGATTGGTTTATGATATGTTCCTCTCTTCCTTTCATAGTGCACTGGTTACAATTCAGAATTGTGCAGGCTGTTCTGTACTTTTAGAGCATATCTATTGTGGAAGTCTGCAAAAAGTCTAATAGAAGTTTATCTTTCTTAAACACAATAATTGGGGAAGTACAGGGAGAAAATGCTTCTCAAAAGAACTTTCAAAGTTCAACTTAGGAAGAACTCAATAAATCCTGTTGATACTTTTCATGCTTTTAAGTTTTAAGTCCATTTATTTTAAGTAGTCTTTTCATTACTTTGAAAAAAAAAGAAAGCTTCATCATCCATCAACTACATTTTGTCCTTCAAGAGAAAAGGCCACTATGGCATTCTGCAATTGGAATCATTCCCTTTGAATAGAACTTCTTTTAAGTAGTATTTTCATTACTTTTAGTTAATTAATGAAATCTCTAATGTATTTTAGTTGAAAAGATAAAAAAAAAAGTGTAAGAAAAAGAACAACAGAGAGAAAAATCCTTTCTAAATCATGCCAACCACTTTTTTGCAGGCCGTTTCAGCTAAGTTTGCTATGGATTTTCATCTTCCAGGTGTATGCCTGAGCAATTAGAGAATCTGTATTCTCTTCCAATGCGGCAGAGAATGTAAAAGTACCTAAAACTAAACTATGAATTTTGTGTTTCGAAGGTTTCTAGTCTCCAAAATTTCTAGTAACCATCCAAAATATTTTCACTAAAACCTGCTATGTAGCTCTAAGATCACTCTGCTAAAGGTTTTCTTTCTTTTTTCTTCCTTATGTTTTAGTTTTTGGGAACTAGGAGAGACAGTAATTGGGGGTGTCTGAACTTCCATACAAACAAAATCTTAGGCCTAGACCGGGATTTACAGGGTAAGCTGCTTTCTCTAATCTACAGAAGGCCCAAAAATTACTTCTTTTCTCACCTCTGTTTCTCTTGATACAATATAAGAAGTGAAGATCCATATAACTTCAACAAATGACTGGTTATGCCATGCATCCAGTTTTGAGGACCTACTCTTTCTTATAGGTTTTTGAATGCAAGATGAGAATGGATAACAGAATGCTAATCTTCATATCATCCCAAACTAATAGAAAGCAATGTGTTATCAATCTCCTTGTCACAAAACGTTAATTCTATAAGCCGACATTTAGGAACAAATCCAGAAAGTTAGTCAGGGGACAAAAGTAAATATTGGAGGACAGTCTTTTAAATTTTTTAGAAAAAGGGGTCATCGCCCAAAATCCATCCTTGCTGAAATTGATTACACCTGAACAATAATTAGCTTCATTGTACAATTTTGGCAAAAACAAATATCACTATGTACCTTGTCATTAAAAATTATAAGAACAGACATGACTGTGATTGCAAAAACCTACCTGTCTGCCTCTTAAGTACAATCTGAGACAGCATGAGCATCCTACATTAAATATCATAGGATAAACCCACTTTGAAGAAAAATGATTCCCAGATAGAGAATAAAAATCAAGGAAGATGAAATCTCCAAATGCTGACAAATAGCCTTTCAGGTGGCTCCTTTTCACCTTCTTTTGATTTTTCAAGTGGGTGCAACTCGACCTTAAACTAAGTGAACTTGTCAGCCAGATCTTTGACAAGATTAGAGCCAAAGAAAGCAGTGAAAAAGGACAGATTTGATGATGTTGAGCACTATGGGGTACTGATAAGCGTATAACAGGAAAACCTTTTCCCCACCAAACTTCTGTTGATGTCTGGAGAATGAAATAAGGGAAAGGCACACTGCACATAGATATTGGAGTTTTTTTACCAATTGTTTAATGCATCAGCCTATAGTAGTCTTTGGTTGATTAAACTATGAAGTTCAAGCACCTTAAGTCATCCTACTGCATAATTCTTCATTTTTTTTTTCCTATTGTCACCTTTGGTAGGCGCTGATTCATCGTGGGCATGGCCATGAAAATCCAAATATGCAAAATAAGGATATGACTATTTACCACTTACCTCTCCAAGATCTTGCTACCGGTGGCGAGTCTTGTATTACTTAATAGGAGAGTTTATTATTGTCATTGATCAGTACTAAGTCTCTGACCATTCCTGTCCTCTAACGCAGTATGCCAGTACTCAATCAACCATGCTACAATGATTTTGTCATAATTGTATATCACTATATCCCCTTTTACATAACCTGATTTCTTAGAAATTGTCTCTTGTCTACTAAAATTTTACTGTAATAATAGATCATAGAGATGGCCTTCACAAACTATTGTTCCTTTTGAATTTGATCCCCCTTACATCCTATACTGTATTTTCCTTTGGATTTTCTAGCTCCGCCCCAGAATATAAAACATGCCTCAAGAAATTTGAGTTTCATAGTTCAATGAAGTTTTATGTTCATGCAGCCAAAAGACAATATGTCACTCTCTTTCTCTCTCTCTCCCTGCATGTTTATGAATTAGTTTTAATTGCAGTACAGCCACTAGCAATAAAGAATGTGGATGGTAGGCTTTTCCAGTATATTATTGTCGGATGCTTCTTGCTTTCTTGCATATATTTGTGACTAGTAAAAGGATTTTGGTAACTTGTCTGATGTTCATTTTGAAGGATATAGATAGTAGCAACTTGCAAGTCCAATTGACCCCAAAAAAATGATGTAAATTTCTTCTCCATGTAAACCATCAAATACAAACTTAAGTACTTAACATTCGTTATTGTTTACACAAAGTATCTGTTCTCAAATATCAATCCATGATCTTATGATTGCTAACCTAACTCTTTTTTGTACTACACCAGACAATGACCTCTTGTATACATATACTTATATCTATATAGGTATATTATATGCGTGTGTTTGTGTATTATGGTTCAAGATCGCAATATCAGTCATCGACTCGAAGAGCCCTGAGACAAATTGCTAGCGGCATCGCTGCGTGATATCGAGCAATTAGATCAATAAAAAAATGTTGAATATAACAACAAATTCAGGTCATAGTGCGGCGTCGTAAAACCGTATCGCCCGATTCAATAATAATAACTCAACAACTTGAAATTAACTCAGATACAACGCGACCGATTAGGTCGAGACTTGGCGGTGAAGGCAGCAGGGTCTTGGAGCATATGGTCCAAAGAAGCAAATTAAACTCATTTGGCGGTGAAGGCAGCAGGGTCCATAAGCCAGTAGACCATAGACTCATTTAAGCAGGGAGTACCTTTCCCTAGTTGAAGTTTCCATCACATAACTACTACTGAACTGAGTTACACACAGGATGTGAGCTAGGTGACTGCAGCCTGAGGATGATCTGCCACACATGATTTAAATGCATTAGATGTGTTCAGAATAGGATGGAAGGCATGAGAACAAAAATAGAAGTGCATACCTTTGTTTTCTCATTTTTCCCAATATAATCACACAATCTTTTACCCCTCATGAGCTCTTTCCCTGCCCACCAAAGCTTTGTAATATCCTCTTTAATAGCTTCCAAGCCTGATGATAACACATTTTCATTCATGCATGAAGATATAAAAAACACATTGAAGGATATTTAAAGTATACAATAATGACGAGGACAACAAAAGTCTTCACTTGCATTGAGGCCAAGAACCAGATATCCAGGTTTTATAGGAGGTTTCATTTGCAAATTGTTTACTTAGCAGTATCAGCCAATACACATCAGCCAGACAGGGGCTGATCCATGTTTACCATCTGGTATACAAAATCAAGTGAAACCGATATATGGACAATTTGCCTCTGAAGTATTGGAGAATACCTTGAAAATTAAGAACATATATACACATATATTGCAGATATACATCAGTTTTGGTGGTATTATCACATCAGGCAGACAGGCATCCTTTATTACTTTTCTCAATTCTCACTAACATTATATCCCTTCAGAAACTAAAAGACGAATAAAATTCCGCCTGGTTAGACAGAATTGTGCAAGTATAGTGACTCTTGAATGTATAATTTTTGTGGAACAAGGTGTGAATGATAAAAGTGTAAACTATGACTAGTTATTTGACATCACACGGAGTCTACAAATTAAAATTGACTAACCACTCATTTCCTAGACTGTCAATTCATGTTTCACCACTCAAACGTCATATGAAAGAAGAATTAACAGTACCAGTCAATGAAAACTTTTGGTCCCAAATACAGAAAAAGACAACAAAGACACGAACTATATCAGAGATTCTCAAATACCTGGAAGAAGTTGCCGTATGTTGGAATCTGGAAAGCCCATTATGTCATAACTTCCTGTGAATTCCCTTTCTATGCTCTGCTTGTGGCCTTTCAACACACAGATTGATAAAGGTTTATTATGTAGAACCTGGTTCTGTCATCAAACAAAACAACTCTGTAAATGCTCCCTCAGAGAACAAATTATTAACGATCACACTCCAACTGGTTCCTAAGCAAGGTAAATCAAACAATATACAACAAAATATTGAATCTCAAATTTTGAATTATTGTTTGTTCTTTCGAATACAGATAATCAATGAAATAATTCATTATATTACATATGAATTAAGATTACAAGGGCTTGAAACAAACGGGGTTCTAGCCGTCAATAGAATCAAGCTATATTAAAAAGTATTGAAAAGTTGTTCAAGAACAATGAGGGTGTGTGTGTGTGTGGAGAGAGAGAGAGACCTTGGATGCGTAGGCCTCGGCTTCTGACAGAGCTCTGCTGAGAGGTATCACTGCATTGAGGTGGTAGCTAAGAAAGTTAGGGTATTGAGTTGAGAAAAAAAAAAAGGTAACTCCGCGTTAAAGATGAGAGATAAACCTTTGGGATCAGTGTTAATGAGGGGAGAGAGACGAGGTTGAAGATGGAGGCTGAGGCGTAGAATCTTGGATTGAAGGTTAGCAATTTGGATCACGTCTTTGGCGATTTCATCGATTGTTGAAGTGGTTGGAGATTCGTAGAGAAACTCTTTCTGGTCTTCTTCTTCGTCGCCACCATGCTTCACCTGAATTCGAACCATCTCCAATTGCTTTCTTGGCGCTACGTTCCGCTCCGTTCGGCGCCCTGAACTGAATGGTGGTGTCTCCAGGTAACAGAAACGAGCAGAATCTAAACAAGGTCACGACAGGAGGAATTAATTCCTCGTAAAATGATTGTCTTTAATGTGTGTGAAATTAGTTCAGATATTTTTGAACGTTGGATCATCTAAAAAAAACGAAAATATTTTGATTCATTTAAAAAATATTTTGATATATTTCAAAAATAGAATAAAAATATTAAAAATTATTCTTTTAAAACATTACTGAAATACTCAAAACAATCTTGAAATACCTTAAATTATTTCAAAATAAAAAATCAAAAATTACAAAATACTTAAAAATATAACAAAATATTTCAAAATATTAAAATTTTAATTTCATCACTCTTTCATTTTGATTTTTTTAAAAACAAAGACATTTTAATTATTAATTATTTTAAAATAAAATTTTAATCCTAAAGTTTACACCTTTTAATGAAGCCCAAATTTTTAATTTTTTTTTTTTTTTTTCGTAAAAAATATACGGAACGACCTGGTTTAAAATACCTATCATGACGTGATTATACAAGGACTAATTTGTTATGAAAACCCTCTAGAGAGGCCTAGATGGAAAAGGACCCACAGGCAGGGCTAAAAAGTCTACACCTCGAGCTGAAAAAATATGGGTGCTATCTATCGTCGGTAAATATTATTCTATTCGTTTTTAAATACTTATCGTCTAACTTTTTTATACATAAATTAAAAAATTTATTAAATAACTCTAATATGAGTAAAAAATAATTATACAAGATTAAAATACTCTTATTTAATACGTATTGGAAAGAAAAAAAATATGAAAGACACTTAACCTACACTTAATCTATTAAGCACTTATTAAAAAACATAGATAAAGGTAAATTTAGAAGAAAAAATATTAATTATGTTTTTGTTTCANTTTAAGTTTTTTATATATAAATTAAAAAAATTATTAAATAACTCTAATATGAGTAAAAAATAATTATATAAGACTAAAATATTCTTATTTAATACGTATTGGGAAGGAAAAAAATATGAAAGACACTTAACCTACACTTAATCTATTAAGCACTTATTAGAAAACATAGATAAAGGTAAATTTAGAAGAAAAAATATTAATTATGTTTTTGTTTCATTAAACGACAGATATTGTGGAACAAAAAAAAATTGTGTAAAACGACAGATATTTAGGAACAGATGGAATAAATGCTATCATCATTAAATAAAAAATTATTAAATAAATAATAGAAACTCCACTTAATTAAATATCCCATACTTGTAATATAATAATTTTTTGGTATTTTTTTATTAGATGGTAATGCTGACCGACAACATCGACATAATTTATATCATTTTATTTAATTTATTAGATGGTAAAAAGCGTAAATTTGCATAATCTATGTGGTTGAGAAAATTCGTGATTATCAATTTTTGCACAAATTGGGTTGTTTATTAGAGGTGTTTATATCCTTTTGCAATGTTAAAGGATTCGTGCGTAAATCTTTAACTGACTTGCATAATCCATCTGCTTATTTTGACTGCCTAAAAGACCAAAAAAAAAAAAATGGAATTTTTTGAAATTAATTATTGTCCAGCAAAGTCATCCCTTGGCCAACTACCAGAGAAAATATTCAATATCTTTGAAGTATCCCTACATTTATTTTTCATTTATCAGGGAATTATTCCTACTTGAAACCTAAATTACATAGAGCGAAAGTAAGAACGAGAGCGTAAAAGCAACAAAATTTTAAGATAAATTGAAAACATGAATGCCTTGAGATCATCATATGAACAGACACACATCCACCCATAAAAGTTAATAAAAATAAAATATAAAAAAATAAATTTTATGCACAAATATACGACAAAATATAACTTTTAAATAGATGTTGATTATAAAGTCCTAAAATTATAATTATAATTTACAAATATCATTCTGGTTTGATATTTATCTTTAAACATGAATCAGTACTTCCCAAATTAAAATTTAAATAAAAATAACAATAAACAAACATATGATTAAGTAAGAACGCAAATTAATTAAATTCACGAAAAAAAAAATTAAATTCACGAATATGATAAAATAAGAGTTCATATCCATGAAGAATTCACTTCCAAAGTGCAAATTACACAGAGCGTTAGGTGTTTTAATGTAACTAAGCTTGAACCATTGAATTTTTTTTTTCCCACCCAATATGCTTTTGGTCAGATTCTTTTCCAGCCCTTCTTAAAGAAGGCACATTTCTTTTTCAATAGAGGTTAATGAAGGGAGTTTGTAACAAAAGAATTGACCCGGTATTTTCCATCTCCAGATGAACATCATGTACTCAACTTACCAAATAAAGTTCATTCACTCAACAAAGACAACATCAATTACTTCAAAGAGGGCAGGTGTTTTAATCACTTTAGTAAATAGGATAAATTAGTTACATAACATAACATCTAGAAAGATGGATGCTGATAATCAAGCCGAGATTCCGAGTCCAAGCCGAGCTCAAGTGGCTCACCTATTTTACATATAAACAAACCAAACTTTCCAAGCTCGAGCTGAAACTTTAGGCTCCTTTTTTATACGAGTCTAAAAAATTGTTTAAGTTTGACTTGTTTAGAACACAAACCAAACTTGAGTCGAGTCCTATCCGAGCCGAATTCGAGTAGCTCGGCTCAATTATCAATCCTAGATGCAATGAACAATTCGAAATTGCCACAAATAACCCAAAAAAAAAAGAGGGGGAAGGGAGAGGGGAATTAAGCATTTATCAGTGAATGAAGTCAAACAGTAAGGAGGCAGAAAGAAACCAGTCTGGCCCCTGAATTAGCTATGCATATTACATAAGAAGACCCTGAAAGCATTTGATCAGTATAGACACCTTCGAAACATGGAATGTCCACCAATCAAATTCCAAGCGGCCCAGATTCTTATTGCTGAGCTTGATGAGTACAAGAAGTGAATCTTGATGCAATTTCATGTACATGTTCCATCAGATTTCTTCAGTATTTGGCTTGAAGATCAATTTATAGAACATCTTCACAGGAGAACTCTAAATCACATATCACTATTCACTACCTTCCGGCACCTCCCACGTAATTCATAACTTGATCCATTTCTTTTACATCTCACCAAATGCCTATAAGGTACCATTCTGATCTAGGGAATTTTTGATACCACCAGAAAATGTCGAGCAACAAATCACTCTTTATCTGCATTCTCTTCGCTTAAACAGAGTTAGGGCAGCATAAAATACGCACTTCAAAAGCCCAACACCCTCCCAACAACAGGTAATAAGACAGAAGGCCAAGATGTGCCAAAAACTACAATCGAAGCATTATTATTTATTGGGGACTTGAGAAGTCTTCTAGTAACTTCACCAAAACAACTTTCTACACCTGTTCCACCCAGTTGTTCAATTTCAGCACACCTCTTACCCCTAGGTTAAAACTTCTCACATTAGATGGCATATATCCGGTCAATATCGGAGTTGGAAAACTCAGATTGATACCAGGAGTTGGACCCACTTCTAGCACTCTTCTCCTTCTTTCTCATTGATCGGGTCCTCTTCGACTTTACCACGTAGTAAGTCATGGTGCCAAGAACCCCAGCCATTATCACTCCCCCAACAACTGTAACCAAAATTGCAGCCCACCGGTTCGTGCGGCCAACTACTATATAGGAAGATGCTATAAATGCCACTGAAGTGCACACTGAAGCCAACCACATCAACTTGTTGATCACCTCCACCACCCGCCTTTCTGCCTTTGTCTCACCCCTCACCAACGTAATCTGAACAACAACAACAGCCAAGGACGTAAAAAGTGCAATGGCATTAAAGATGAAAAAGATTTTGAAAGAAGCACTGCCCGCAACCACAGCTGTCCCATTATCTGCATCCCCACCGGGCACAGTAAAAATAGCTGCAAAGGCAACTGTGGCAAAAAGCACAGCCACTACTGTCACTGAATTGGTGGCATTGTTGATCCCTTCTCGGTGGAGTTTCCTAAGCTCTTTAGCAATTCCATGAACATTTTTGTTTGTCCTCTTGGTTTGTTCCAGTTGGGTGTGGACATCTTTCTTGATTTGAGTCACTGTTTTCCTCAATTCGTCTCTTGGTTGGTTGAGTTCGTTGGCTCTGACAGCACCTTTGCGATAAAGGCAGCCCTTTATATCTGAGGATTCTTCAGAAGGGGGAAGCTCTTCAGCTATGTCAAGAGCTGTTTTGTGATCTCTGGTCAGTGCATTCACATTGGTGTCAGGTAGGCATAATAACTCGTTCACTATCTGTAAGAGAAAAATTTAAAAGGAATCAACTATCCACAAGGGAAAAGGTAGAACAAAATCAATATACACACTGTAATCTTTATGTTGTTGCAAGGAATCCAGAATAGGTTTCAAAATTCAGATCAGGTTCTAAGTACAAGGAGAATCAGGAAATAAGGAAATGGGAAAAACTGTAATTAGGTGTTTAACTTGAGGAAGAAGGCTCCACGTTGAACTAGAAAACTTAAAGAGCAAAAACATCACAGAAAATGGTTCACCTTAGAATAGCATTTTATGGAGCTCGAAATGTGTGATATGCAAAAATTTAAGTACATAGATAAAAATTAAGTTTTGAAGACAAACTAAACTATGTCGTACACACAAGCCATAAAATTTGTTCATTTCAAAAATTACAAAAAAAAAAAAAACTTGATGTACTACCCAAAAGACTATATTTGGAACATAGTGTGAAAAAGTACAACATTCCAACTTGAAACCTCCGGACTGGACACCTCCATAGAAGATGAAAGCNCTTCAGAAGGGGGAAGCTCTTCAGCTATGTCAAGAGCTGTTTTGTGATCTCTGGTCAGTGCATTCACATTGGTGTCAGGTAGGCATAATAACTCGTTCACTATCTGTAAGAGAAAAATTTAAAAGGAATCAACTATCCACAAGGGAAAAGGTAGAACAAAATCAATATACACACTGTAATCTTTATGTTGTTGCAAGGAATCCAGAATAGGTTTCAAAATTCAGATCAGGTTCTAAGTACAAGGAGAATCAGGAAATAAGGAAATGGGAAAAACTGTAATTAGGTGTTTAACTTGAGGAAGAAGGCTCCACGTTGAACTAGAAAACTTAAAGAGCAAAAACATCACAGAAAATGGTTCACCTTAGAATAGCATTTTATGGAGCTCGAAATGTGTGATATGCAAAAATTTAAGTACATAGATAAAAATTAAGTCTTGAAGACAAACTAAACTATGTCGTACACACAAGCCATAAAATTTGTTCATTTCAAAAATTACAAAAAAAAAAAACTTGATGTACTACCCAAAAGACTATATTTGGAACATAGTGTGAAAAAGTACAACATTCCAACTAGAAACCTCCGGACTGGACACCTCCATAGAAGATGAAAGCCACTGCTGAAAGAAGATCATAACATATTATGTTCCCAATCCATGCAAATTAAAGGTTTTCTTTTTCTTGAATAACTATCACATCCAAAATATACCTCTGGTCTCTTCTTTCTGGTAGCTACATGCAACGCTGTGTTACCAAACTTGTCTGGCAGCATCACAATGGCTGCATCAGCGTCAAGAAGCAATTTGACCACCTCACAACTAACCCCCTTTACAGCCATATGCAAAGCAGTCTGCCATTTCTTGTCCTTCCTTCTAGCCAGTTGTGGATCTTTGTCCAGCAAAGCCTTAACAATGTCCACGTGCCCCTGTCGGGCAGCCAGATGCAATGCGTTTTTACCATTGGATCGAGAAATTTCTAACAAGCTACAATCTTTTGACAACAGTTCATGAACCACAGCTGTATGTCCTCTTGTAGCAGCAGTTATAAGAGGGGTTGCATTTGATGGGCCGATTGTTTTGCTTAGCCCCGGGTCATGGTCTAATAGCACTTGAACAATGGCTGCAATAAAAAAGACATTGAGTGCACAGCCTGGCCTTTTGGGCAGAACATATAAAGCGTATTAACAAAACACATATCAGACAATAAACAGAGACTTTATAGTATAAAAATATTAGATCATCTGGAAGAATTCACAAAAGAACTTGCAGCAACAACAAGCTCTTGGGCATATCTTTTCCATTCCCAGCATCCAACATTCATCGTATGAACTCTTATTACAGTTTGAAACAAATTAAAGTTTTTCTAAATGAATGCAAAAGAAACAGAAAACTTGGGGTTGGGAATTTTATGTTATCAATTAAATTAAGTGCTAAAGCAACAAAACCAAGACAAGGGACCTCAATAGCAGAGGTCCTAGTTGCAAATGCAATGGCAGTATGGGCTTACGGCCTCAACTACAACACTTTTCAAGGTTGCATTTTGATAATAGTCACAAATGAATCTTCACAGAAAATATTAGAAGTAACATATGCGAAGGTCATATGAGAATTGTTATGGTCTTTAACTTGGGCTAAAATTTCAATGCTGTAGGGTAATTGTGATCCTGTGAGCAAATATGCCCCCATAGAATCTCAAAGCAACAAATTAGCCATCAGAACTCTTTCCAGTCAAATTATGTATTCAATCAACTTTTTAATTGTCACCAAAACCAAGTGTTCCAGCTGCTTACATTTAGCCTTGGATATATCAAAAAGGACACTACACACAAACACACAATAAATAAAACAAAAAATTATCAGAAAATATATATCAAAACGGATTTCTATGGTATGGGAAGACAGTTTCTCAAAATAATATGAATTATGCTACTGCTGCCAGTTTGGTACAAATAGTTATGCCATAAGACAGGAATTTGGAGAAAAAAGAAAAAGAAAAGAATGTGGTCTCTGAACTTGCATAAACCATGCTGTTAAACATGAACCAATTCAGCTAAGACTACCGCTAATTAGAATGGGAACATCTTTTAGCCTTCGCGGGGAAGATGAGGAATGAAGCATCCTTTAGACAACCAGATCCACTCAATACTTCAATGTCCAGAGGTTAGGCACCCAGCTGGTGTTACTAATGTCTTCCTTTAGGAGTTTTGTTCTCCCAATCTTACGAAAACTAGGTTACTAGCACATGCCCCAAACTAAGAAACCAACTGGATATTTATATGGCAATGCATGGGTACTGTATTATCACGGATTACCTGATTCTCTTAAAGCCAACTACCACCCCAAACTGTCCAGCCTTTATCTTATCTCACCCATGCAAAAAGACCTTTTTTATATCATTTCATTTCACTTTTTCTCAATAAGAATAAACCCGCTTTGCGTGCCAAAAAAAGGACAAAAGTTATGAGCACACAAAGCATGTAGAGTCTCAAGGAGCAGCTTTGTCAAGAGTCAAACTTCACATCTCATATTGGAAGTGAAGCCCTAACAGCAGGGAAAGCTCATAGTTTGTAAGGCAATGCCTAAGAAATTATATTCATCTAGTAATGACCACAGAGAAGAAGTATATGATACTATCCAAGCATCACTCTCAACTTATGCAAGTTATTCTCCTCATAATCCTTCATCTTCTCAAACTAAACTCATTCCTTTAGCCAAATTCTCAGGAAGAAAATCCAAGATCATAGTTATCTAAACTAGCACACGAAAAATGAGATAATAAACTAGAAATAAAATAACTAAATCATTGAAGTAAATGATGAAGAATGTCCAAAACAGATCACTACCGTGGTGTCCCTGACTTGCAGCAATATGCAACGGATCAAACCCTGACCGGTTCTTCTTTGAAAGTGTTTCATTATTTGTATACGTCAAAAACTCCTTCACAACTTCAAGATGCCCTTTTTCAGCTGCAGTATACAGCGCAGTCTCTCCCAATTCATTCACCTCATTCACCACTGAAGCCCGAATCTCTGCAACCTCTTGATCAAATTCAGCTCCACTCAATGTCCCCTCCATTTGGGAATCAATAGCTTTCAAAATCTGCTTCACCGCCGCAAGATCGTCTCTCTGAGCTGCTAAATGCAGCTCTGTGTCGTTGTGCCGACCCGTCACCTGTTTTACATACTTCTTTTTGCCTGCTTGATCAATTCGCTTACCAGAGTTTGACAGAACCAGAGCAGGTGCGGTGGCCGAGGATGGTGATGGTGAAGGAGATTGTTCGGCGAGAGGGTTTTGATTCGATGTTGCAGTGATCAATCCTTTCTCTAAATCTCTCTCACCTACTAGAGAATCAATTACTTAGTAATCACTTAGTAGCAACAAGGTAAGACCAAAACAACTGAAACATTCTTTTCTATGAACAGGAAGTAATTTCTTGGATAGATTCTCGGAATTTTCTTTCAAAATCAGAGCAAAGATAANTCTCTCACCTACTAGAGAATCAATTACTTAGTAATCACTTAGTAGCAACAAGGTAAGACCAAAACAACTGAAACAGCAGTTCTTTTCTATGAACAGAAAGTAATTTCTTGGATAGATTCTCGGAATTTTCTTTCAAAATCAGAGCAAAGATAACACGCTTCCAAGTCTCTACCAATCCATACAGACTCGATTGCTCGCAAAATCAGTATCACAGATAAACCTAAGTGCTATATATAAAGATCTATATCCATGAATCCTCAGTTCTTAGCTCCGAAGCTGTACACTGTAGTCATCATTTGGAGAAAATTTATACGAATTCCATCAGCTTGCAGAAAAAGATCTATTCAGCAACAAAATAATTTTCTCTCCAGAAGCTATATTCCGAGAAAATAAACTAAAACTAATGAATTTAACAAGCAGATATGATCTTTGAACGAAAAGTAGTTAGAAAGAGAGTGTGTACCTTCTTCTATAGGAGAAGCCATGATTGAGGTGAGAGAGAGAGTGTGCAAACCCTGGGAATTGAGTTGAGGATAGAGAATTAGAGCCTGAGACTTGCCGAAGTTTTGGTTTTGTTTGGTAGAGAGGAAAGTGTGAGGAAGGTGATGACAGCGGATACATAAGAAAAAGGGCAAAAAGACAAAATAGTGGAAAGTGAGGGGAATGGTCCAAGTTAGGCTGCGAGAATATGTATTTTCATTTGGTGTCCCTGCATTTTATTTTATTTGCATAGTAAGCAATAACCTTAATCGTACAACAATTAAAATTTATATTTTTTCTATTTAATCATGCAGTTTAAAATTAAATTAACAAAACAAGAAATAAGAAGGGGGAGAAAGAAAAGAGATGTATAGCTGTGAATTAGTGAGATTGTTTGATATTGGAAGTCGTGTAATGAAAATAACTTTTTAAGAGGGAAAAAAAATTAGGATAAATTTTATACCATTAGATTAAAATAGATAAAATTTGTATTAATCTTGATCGTTGTTATATTTTTATAAATTAAAATTTTAATTTCTTAACTTTAATATTAAATAAATGTTTCTGTATCTTTTCTACATTACATGGAAGATCAAGGGAGATGCACTAAAAAAAAATTTGCTACACCATTAGTTGTTCATTTGTCTTAAAAAAACCGAGTTTAATATTATTATTTTTGTGGTTCGAACTCAAAACACTTAAATTACGATGGACATTTCAAGCAATTCAATACTTGAAATTTTTGTCGTTTTAAGAGATCTAATGGGTGTTATATATATGTCATTAGGATTAATAATTGAATCAAGTTATTCGGGTCGACTTATATGAGACTCGACTCAAACTCGTCTTGTGTTTTAAATGAACCGAACTTGAATAATTTTTTTAGTTCATTTAGAAAAACAAACCTAAAAGACTCACAAAATTTGGTTCATTTATATGTAAAATAGTCAAACTACTTAGACTTGAACCGAGTTTGGATTGTTTTGGACTTAGCTTATTTTCTAAACGAACTGAATTTAAACAATTTTTTAAGTTCATTTAAAAAAAAGAACTTAAAAGACTTGGTTTGAACCCGTAAAATTCGGTTCGTTTATATGTAAAATAGTCAAACTACTTATTCTAGACCCAAATTTAGAATATTTTGACTAAGCTCATTTTCTAAATAAACCAAGTTTAAATAATTTTTTAAGCTCATTTAGAAAAAAAAAACTTAAAAGACTCGGTTTAAACTGGTAAAATTCGGCTCGTTTACATGTAAAATAGTCGAACTACTTACGCTTGACCTAGGTTTAGATCATTTTAGACTTGACTTATTTTTTAAATAAGTTAAATTTAAATAATTTTTTAAACTCATTTGAAAAAAAAAAAGAAAAGCTAAATAGACTTGAGCTCAAGCTCGAAAACATATATCTCATTTTATTCATGGGCAAAAGAATTTTTTTGGGGACTTGAATTTGTAATTATCAAAAACATAATAAAACACTTATTATAATGCTATCCCCTCCCCATTTTTTCTTTATTTACCTTCGTGACTTTAAAGAACAATTTCTTGGTTTATCAATTTGCTTTCCACGTCACAAACATAGTGACCAACTGCAATGAGTGGCCAAGTGGGTGAGTTGATCAGACTTGCTTATTTTTATTAATGTGGGTTGCTTTTCTAGTCAACTTGGTCTTCCAATCTAAAATAAAAAAAAAATAAAAAAAATTCACCTCACCCCTTCTTATTTATTCTATCTTTACTATCTTTAAAGATACCTCTTTATTATTCAAAACATCACTAACACTACTTCTACTTTATATTTAAACTTAAACATATTGACACCCCTTACTGTCAAATCACCATTTCTAACAAAATTTTTTTATCTAAAATATCAAAATTACTCATATATAAATCCCTAACAATTTTTCTACATAAAATTTGATTAAAATTCGAGCTAATTAAAATTTATTTTTCTTCATATTAAAAATTGAGCTGATTAAAATTTGATTCGAACCGATTAAATTTTATTTTTTTATGTCTTAAAATTCGAGCCTATTAATTTATTTTTTAGTATTAAAATTTGAGCTCAACCTACGCTGTTAGAGTCAATTAAAATTTATATTTTTTATTTATTAAAATTTGTGTCAATTAAAATTTGATTCAAATTGATTAAAATTTATTTTTTATGTATTAAAATTTATATTTTTTTATGTATTACAATTCGGGTCAATTAAAATTCAATATGAGTTGATTAAAATTTGATTCGAGCCGATTAAAAATTTTAATCAACTCAAATCGAATTTTAGTTTGCTTGAATTTTAATCTGTAAAAAAAATCATAAAATAGAGGGGTCTTATTTTGAAGATATGTGTATTTAAATGGGGTGTGGATGAAGGTTTTTCTAAAATATATTATGGATGATTTAGTAAAATTGTATTTTAGTTAAGGTTTTTAATCTGACATTGGTGTCCGTGAAGATTCAAAAAATAGAAGGAGTGGAGGTCATTGAAATTTTTCCAAGAAACAATACTATATGAACTTAATTTACTAATTACTCTGTCATTGTATTGAAGCTTTATGTGAGGCTTTCAACTATAATTAGCAGCCCAAGGGACACCAATGGACATTTGGTTTAATGATGCTCTTTATTCTATAAAGGTTTTGTCTTCTCGAGATCAAGAATTTAAGTCCTTCTTCCACTTCCCCTCCCCTCCCAAAAAAAGAAAAAACCTAAGAGATAATTTAAGTGGTACGAAATACGAATTGTAAATCTAAGACGTCATGAGTTTCAAAATAATTAGAAGTTTTTAATTTTTTTGAATGATATTGGTCATCCATGTCAATAATTTTATCGTATTAAAAATTGATTTTATAATTTTATAATTTAATATGAAATAAATTTATTGATGTTAAAAGATCTTTATTATTCGGAAAAAAAATTAGATAATTGGAGGGTATCCTATGCAACATAGCATATAATAATGAATACATACAAGTGTGATGTAATGCTTTAGCATATATTAATAAATTATATGTTAGTTATTGCAACATCCAAGCAGCAGATAATGTAGTTTTCCTTTTTTATGTTATGAAATATTACACTCATGCTCCCTCAAAATTACAGGAATACCCTCACGGTTTTGTAAGTATCTATAATCCCTCCTTTTTTTATTCTTTCAAATTTTGCCTTCGTTACTTATTCCTAGACCTAACACTTAGGTCTTGTTTGGATGAATTTTGGGGAAGAGTTTAGATTGACTTCTCCTAACCCTTTCAAATTCAAATATTTATTTACAAATATGAAATTCAACATTCAATCTGGTTCATATTCATGTTTGATATACAACAAATATACATGTAGAAACCACAGATATATGATAATTATTAATAACTATTTGTTCTGTAAATGACTATTTTATTCTTGATTAATTTAATTTATACTCATGTTAAAGGGTACAATTGCCTTTTGATCTTTAACGCCTTACCCATCTTCCCAAACCTACTCACCCCCTAGGTTTGACGAAACTCATAATAATAGATTTAATCTTCAGACCAACTACAGGACAGGTTTGAGAATCCGGGACTGAATTTTCAATCCAACACATAATATTTGGAGGTCCTTTAGACTATTTTTTCCAAACCCATTTTACCGAGCCCTCTATACCCCCTTGCCAAATACCCCCATGAAGTATCCAATTGAACACTTCTTACTCCTTTGAGCAAACTTAAACACTATTTCAAGCATCATCTGTTTTTCGTCTTCACCTCCTTTTATTTCTCCCCCTTCATACCCACACATACATAGACATGCGGCCATCAACACACCAAAAAACACATATATCGTATATTTTTACACTATATACGACTAGTTGTTGCACATGGGACATTTTGAATTATAATTTTATTTTTATATTTTTAGCTTTATTGAAATTATATAAGAATTATGTTACCAAATATATGCTTGTGAATTAAGATATAAAATTACAATCCAACTTCTAACTTATGTTTTCAAAAGTATCAAACATAACTTTTAGAATGTAATAACATGAAGCTTCTAGCTAATATGATGGGAGTATGTTATTTTAGAACTATCTCTTTGTAATGTTGTTTACTGAAGTTATATATGTAATATACTGTTCTGTTATAACCTAAAAAATAAAAAGAATCAAGTTATAGACAATAAAAATAGGTTTTTCTTACCTAGATATATTTTTCTGTATTTTCAATGGCCTACTTTATTCTGTTTTAAAAAATGGATTACTTTATGATTTATTATTTCATAAAATGAAGAAATAGATCAATTGGCCTAGTTTCAGAAACATTCGACAGTTACTCAGTAAACACAATCATGCATACTAACAAATTTATGATCATGATTATATTTGCACAGCCTCACAAGCTCATGATGCCAAGAGATTTATGTGTAACTTAAAATTTCTCAACCCACTAAAAAAAATAAATAGTTAGGATTAACAAGGGAAACACAACAGGTTTTGGTGTTAATCAGATCGACATATCTATTTACCTACCAAAGGAACCATTTTAATTAGAATACACAACAAAATCAAGTCAACCATTGTAGGGATTTTATGTTTCTCATCTAAAATTTCATTGGCAATATACTAATAACATATATAAGTTTTGATACGCACAAAAACAAGAAATCTCAATAAGAGTGCCCAAATCTCTTACACGAATAAAAATGACACAAATCCTTTAAGATTTTACATGGAAACCACAAGAAACATGTATTTACGTATCCATATTTCCACTCAAGTCAGCTTCATTACATTCCAAGCTAAGCATATTGGAGTAGAGGGAATTTTTTTTCAAGGATGTGAGTCGCAAATATGGTGATCCTAACATTTATACCAACAAAAAAGGAAAAAGAAAAAGAAAGATAATACATATATACTACAATAAAAAAATAATTATCTCAATCAGGTTGAAGATGAAGAAGGGTAGAAAGCTAAAACAATCAATGATAATTCATTTCCCCTAGATTACTTTCATGTACTTTTGGGAGTTCTGTTAGTGAATTGATGCAAAATGAGAATAAATAAAGAGAGACATTTGTGGAAGAGAAAATCAAAGGTCACTCATCGTCGGTTTTAACAATGAGCACGT